CTGGATCTCCAGTGCCAGTCAGGTCAGGGGAGGCTTTGGAAACAAGCCCTGATACAGCAGAGGGAGCATTACACAGACTGCAGGACAATGTTTTCTTTTAGCTGTCTCTGTTCAAGCATATATGCAATCATTTTGTTTTTCTTTATGTTCTGATACTGGGCTTAAACTGAAGGCCTAGAGCTATCACTCAGGTTTTTCTACTCATGGCTAGTGCTCTACTACTAGAACCACACCACCTGTTCTTGCTTTGTGCTGGTTAATGGAGATAAGGCTGGTATAAACCCAGATCCTTAGATCTCAGCCTTCAGTGTAGCTGGGATTCTAGGTGTAAGCCACCATGCCTGGCCTTGTTGTTTGAATCACTGTACAGCTACATTAAAGTCCTTGTGAATGGGAAGCGACACACTTGGCGGTAGTTCCTGTCACAGAAGGAGTCACTTGTTTCCATAAGTGTCTGCTAATGGTCAGGCCCGCCACAGGTTAGTTTTACTTTTCAAGTAGAAATACAGTAATTTAAAAAGCCTCAAGGTAGGCATGGTAATTCATACCTGTAATCCCAGCACTCAGGAGGCCAGGCCGGAGGATTGAGCTGTAGGCCAGCCTGAGTACCTAGTGATACCCTCTGTCAAAAAATTTTTACTGTCTCCCCCTTTCCTTCCTTTCACTGGGATTTTGTAGAGTCCTGGAACTTCTTAGGAGGAAGGAGTGAACAAATCAAAATGCTCCTGTCAGCAAGTTTTTGGTTCTGTGAGAAGTGGGAGCAGTGGGAGCTGCCAGCATTGAGGGGCGGTGGGCTGGTGGCACTGGAGACAGCCAGCGTCCAATGCTACCTTCTCTCCTAGTGGGATTTTGGTCTGCACAGATGTGATGGCCCGGGGCATCGACATTCCCGAAGTCCACTGGGTCCTGCAGTACGACCCTCCCAGCATCGCCAGGTACCCTGGCAGGGTTTTGGCCTGTCCAAACAGGAATCTGGGGGCAGGGGATTGAAACACATGACATCCAAAACTTTGTTTTGGTTAGTTGTGGAACTTGGCCTGGGTGCTGTCCCTGTGCTTTAGAACTCAAGGCCAGCACTCTACCATTTTGAGCCACCACCACTTGTGGTTTTCTATTGGTTAATTGGAGATAGGAGTCTCACAGACTTTCCTGCCCAATATGGCTTTCAACCGGGATCCTCAGATTCTCAGATCCCAGATCCTAGAGCTCAGATCTTATTTTAATCAATAACGTTTGGTGTTAACAGTGACATCATTTAGCAGCTAAAGATTTTTTTTGGGGGGGTGGGGCGGGGCTCAGTCGTGGGGCTTGAACTCTGGGCTTGGGCGTTGTCCCTCAGCTCTTCAGCTCCAGGCAAGTGCTCTACTGCTTGAGCCACAACGCCACTTCCAGTTTTCTAGTGGTTGATTGGAGATAAGAGTCTCACGGACTTTTCCTTGCCCGGGCTGGCTTTGAACCCTGATCCTCAGATCTCAGCCTCCTGAGTAGCTAGGATTACAGGTGTGAGCCACGGGCGCCCGGCTTTAACGATATTTTTAAATCCTGAAAGTTATCACAGAAATGCATGATAGTAAAAATGATAAAAAGCTGTGAAACACCATAAATGACATTGTGACTGCTGTCCCAGAAACTAAGCATAGATTGCTAATGCGTGGGAATGTACCTGAGTATGGAGTGGGCCTCTGCTCATGGTCACTCTGGGCGTGGGCTCCCTGTGTTCTCAGTGCCTTTGTGCACCGCTGCGGCCGCACAGCACGCATCGGCCATGGCGGCAGTGCCCTGGTGTTCCTGCTGCCCATGGAAGAGTCGTACACCAACTTCCTTGCCATCAACCAGAAGGTGAGCCACCTTTTCATGCAGAACATGGGGTGGCAGGGCAAATTCGTCCCTGGCTGAAGGCTGGAGCCTTAGGTGAGGGGCATACCCTCACCCCTCCTGCAGGCCCGGGGCCCGCCCACCACTTAGGAATGTGGTCCCTGTGTTGCCCTTCTGGCTTAGCAGATCACATGGCCACAAGAAATCCCATTTGTAAACTTTTGCACTGAGGACTGAGCTTGGGCCAGGTGTGGGCTGTGGGTGTTAGGATGATGGTTCTTCTTTCTGGCTGTGCTAGGATGATGGTTCTTCTTCCTGGCTGAGCTGGGAGCCTGAGGCTGCTCTGTGTGTAGTGTCCCCTGCAGGAGATGAGTGTGCAGAAGAACGTGGCCAACCTGCTTCCAGACCTCAAGGCCATGGCCCTGGCCGACAGAGCTGTGTTTGAAAAGGGCATGAGAGCCTTCGTGTCCCACGTCCAGGCCTACGCCAAACACGAGTGCAACCTCATCTTCAGGCTAAAGGGTAAGTTGCATTTCGTTGTAATTGTGTGTGTTTGTCTGCATGTCGATGGTTCTGAAGGGGTAAAATTGCTTTGTCTTACTAAAATGTGAGGTGTAGTAGGATTCATACTTTCTAAGATTTTGGGTAGCACTTTACCACTTGAGCCACACAGCACCATACATACTTTGTGTATGTGGTACTGAGGAATGGAACCTAGGCAAGCACTCTACCAGTAAGCCACATGTACCCCAGCCCCCTTTCTTAACATTTTAAAGGGAGTCTTCTTTCTAGGCTTTGAGTAGACATGAATAAATTGGCCATTGGCTTCAAAGTATCTTTTTACTTTGAAGAAATGTGTTTTTTAGGAATTCTAACTAGGAAGTGGCACTGTGTGGCTCAAGTGGTAGAGTACTGCCTTGAGCTGAAGAGCTGAGGGACAGCGCCCAGGCCCAGAGTTCAGGCCCAAGGACCAACCCCCCCAAAAAAAAAGATTTTAAATGAATCTTATTTACTCTATGAATGTTTGTCACAGACTGTGGTAATAATCCATGGTGTTTTATTTCCTTAGATCTTGACTTTGCCAGCCTTGCCCGAGGTTTTGCCTTGCTCAAGATGCCCAAGATGCCAGAACTGAGGGGAAAGCAGTTTCCAGAGTTTGTGCCTGTGGACATTAATACAGACACAATTCCATTTAAAGATAAAATTAGAGAAAAACAAAGACAGAAACTATTGGAGCAACAAATAAAGGAGAAAGCAGAAAATGAGGGAAAACGAAAATTCATAAAAAACAAAGCATGGTCCAAACAGAAAGCCAAAAAGGAAAGGAAGAAAAAGATGAGTGCAAAAAGGAAGAAGGAAGAGGTAGTGTTTGCAGTTTATTGCTTAAATTTTATCTCAGAGTTCTTAGCAGTTTTTACTGTCATTTTTTTTTTTTGGTCTGGTCCTGACGTTTGAACTCAAGGCCTGGGCACCATCTATGAGCTGCTTTTGCTCGAGGCTGGTGCTCTACCACTTGAGCCACAGTGCCACTTCCAGCTTTTTCTGAGTAGTTTATTGGAGATAAAGAGTATAGACTTTCCTGCTGGGGCTGACTTTAAACCAGGATCTTCAGATCTTAGCCTCCTGAGTAGCTAGGATTTCAGGAGAGAGCCACCAGCACCTGCCTTGTAAGCATCTTTTGAAAGGCATTGTGGAACAGGCATGGTACACTCCTATAATCTGAGCACTTGAGAAGCCTTGAGGCCAGCCTGGTTTATAAAGTGAGACCCTGTTTCAAAAACAAAAGGAAAGACAGCTGAAGATTTTTTTTTTTTGGTAGTCATGGGGCTTGAACTCTGGGCCTGGGTGCTGTCCCTCAGCTCTTCAGCTCAAAGTGAGTGCTCTATCACTTGAGCCGCAGTGTCACTTCCAGTTTTCTTTGGTTAACTGGAGATAAGAGTCTCACAGACTTTTTCTGCCTGGTCTGGCTATGAACCGTGATCCTCAGATCTTAGCCTCCTGAGTAGCTAGGCTTACAGGCGTGAGCCATGGCACCCGGCTAGCTGCAGATTTTTATACTGGTCCTGGTACCTGGAGTGGAGAACATTGCAGTCTGAGGGCAGACCTGGTACACGGTGTTCCTGTAAACTACCACAGTGAGTAGGGGCTGGGAAGGTAGCTCAGCGGTAGAATGCATGCCTTGCAAGCATGAGGCCCTGGGTTTGATTCCTCAGCACCACATAAGCAGAAAAAGCCGGAAGTGGCTCTGTGGCTCCAGTGGTAGAGCGCTAGCCTTGAGCTGAAGAGCTGAGGGACAGCGCCCAGACCCAGAGTTCAGGCCCCATGACCGGCAAAAATAAATAAATAAATAAATAAACTACCAATGTGGCTGGGAAGTTATAGTAATCTGCTTTCTTCTGCACACAGGGCTCTGACATTGAAGATGAGGACATGGAGGAACTTCTTAATGACACAAGGCTCTTGAAAAAGTTAAAAAAAGGCAAAATCACTGAAGAAGAATTTGAGAAGGAGTTGCTGATAAGCAGCAAAGGAACAATGAAGACCGCAGATTTAGGTGTCTCTGACTTGGAAGATGAGTGCTGACTGCAGAGCCCCAGCTGGCTGCCTGCTGGGTACCTCCTCTTTGTCCCACCACATGCAGATCAAGTCAGGGACCCCCAAGGGGAAGCAGGCCCTGCCCTGTTGTGACACTGCTAAGACCTGTCCTGAAGTGCTTGGTGCACACATAGCCGCTGGTGTCTTATTCTGATCGGCCCACTAGTCTTCTGAGAGTATTTTATTCATTTTAAATGTAAAGGTATTGACGTGTACCTGGCTTTGGGCATTTTAAAGTTCTAAGGAGTTCTAGGAACCTGCCCTTCTTCGCATCTTCATCTGTGTTCCCATCTCCTGGGCTACCTTTGTATTTGCTACCCCAAATGGAGTACAGTTGGCTGATGTACTGGCATGAGACCAGGCTGGCCCCAAGTACCGCCCTCCTGCCTCTGTGCTGAAGTTAGGATTACAGGAGTACACTGCCATGTCCAGCCCTCATATTATTAGCAACAGCTGAGAACCAGAAGGTACATGGTGTGGTAGGAATTAGAGGAGGAGTCTGAGCCTTTTGGTCCAGCTTACCTGTGCAGCGTGTGTTCCCTTCAGGGCCAGTGTCTGGCCTGAGGTCCACTTTCAGCACCGATGCGATATGGCTTCAAAACTCATAATTTATTTGAAAAGATGTTGAATTTGTCACCAAGTAAAATTTTTAAAAATCCGTTTGGAACTTAAACAAATATGGGGAAGATTGGTAAGTGCTGCACAGGGCTGCTCCGCCGCCGCCTGTGTTCTCAAGCCTAGTGCTGCCCCTGCTGGCCACAGGCAAAGGCAGTGAGTACAGCAAGGTGCATGGTGTCTCTTAGTGCCGAGGGTGGCGTAGTCAGAACCCTGCTTCACTCACTGAACAAAATCTCCAGTGAGACAGCACTCAGGAGCAGAGGGAGGTGGATGCCATGTCTCCAATAAATGCCATGCCCTTACACAATGTGTACTCCTGGAAACAAAGCGAGCAAGTTCTGGAAGACCAGATGCACATTTAGGTTTGCTTTTAAACCTAGATGAGTGAAGAGATTCTCCAGGACTTGGGATTTCAGTTCTTAGTCCATGAAGCTTTCAAGTACAGTTCTGTCTTGGCCTGGCTGGCCCTTTGATGTGGCACTGAAGGGGACCCCGGTGGTTACAGGTAGAGCTTGATGAGCTCGTCACTGACCGCAGAGGGGGTCAGCACACCGAGGTCCGTGAAGAGCAGGGTGATGAGGGAAGGGGATGTGTAGTCTACCCACGGGTGCTCCTCCTTCAGGTCCTGTCCATCCTGCACAGACTTGAGAGTAGCCGCCTTGTACTGTGAGGGAAAGCAGTGTTAGGGGCTCACTCTGCGCAGGTGGGCATAGCTTGAGCGCTGAGTACTACTGGCCTGGGCTATGCAGCTCACTGGCTACAGTGAGGCATTACCACTACCAAGCCCCTCCTCTCGTGTGCTGGGCCAATTCCTCCAGGCCTCCAGTGAGTGAGCTGTTTATGCAGTGGCAAATGCCAGCTACTGACTAAGCCCACCTGCTTGTTCAGAGGTGCCAGCAGAGGACTTGTCCGAAGCCACATGGACCATCAATGACAAAACTAGGACCCAACCCCTGGCCTCCCTACCTCAGCAGGAGCAGAGAAGTCTGGGGACAAAGATGAGTATAAGGCCAACAGCACCAGGTCATTTCTACTCCCCTGGTGGGGAGTGAGTGACTTCCTAGAACATCAGTCTTTCAGGTGGGATTGATGCAGGACTCATATATGTAAAACTTGCCTTAAACTTATCCGGGACATCTTGCTGGTTTAACGGGAAGAGCCGCACAAACTTGAAACTTTCCGCAACCACATAAAAGGGCTTGTTCTGTGCTTTGGCGCATACAGCCATCTGGTTGGTTCCAATCTGAGAAGTAAAACAATAGAAGGAACTCAATGTAATCTGGCTTTGGGATCAAAGAGGACCACTTCAAAACAAAAACAAACAAAAACAACCTACAGATGCCTGTGTGAAGATATGTACATAAATGGCCTCCATGTGAAAAGATTCTCAGTGCTTTATATGCCTTAAATTGTTGGTAAAGTTTCTCTAAGGAATGACTGGAAAATTTGTAATGAAATAAAGTGTAATACAATACTGAGGTTGAATATGCTGGATTAAAATGAAGAAAAAAAATGACAAGCCAATTCTAATTAAAACTTACATAAATTACATTGACTTAATTTGTATATGCCAATCTGCAAAGAAGGAACTATGACCACAATCTGACCCCTGCACTTGCTTGTAGGAATCTGGTTCCATGGCCTGCTGCTGCTCGAGGCCAGCAGTGTATCCATCTTAGCAACCCACTCCAAGAGGGGGTGCTCCTACCTTGTTAATTATTCCTCCGTTTTCAACGACCCCTTCTGCACCGACTATGACTAGATCTGCTTTCTCCATGATGTAGCTGAGGGGGACAAAAAGAAAGCTATTTGTTCTTGGCTGCTGAAAGATCAGGTCTTCCCCCTGAATACCTTTTTCACGGAAAGATAATTCACACGTGGTGACTGACCACAGCAATGTTACAGGCATGAAGACCCAGCCTTTGCATCTTGCTCTTGAAACATAGGCGTGGGGCTAAGGACACACCCTCCCTCTCTGCGCACCCCAGGTTCTCAGGATAGCTTGCTCCAGTTGGGCAGCTATTAAGTGGTGGGACGCCACTCAGTGTGCTTTATCAACAGGACTCAAACCTTCAATCTGAAAAGCCTGCCAGGAGTGAGCCCCAGGGGTGGACGGGGATGGGCAAGGAGAGGCGCTTACCCCACAGCGGCATCCAGCACCACGGTAACAGGGACGTTGAGGTGGCAGAGGGCTTTGGCCATTTTCTTACTGAAGATGACATTATAGAATATTAGGAAAAGTCCAGAAAAGTGATGCATGGAGAGTCACCCAGTTCAAAACGCTTGACTGGCTTCCCATCAGTATGACACCTGCTGTCATACTGCCCCCAGGGCCTGGCCCAGCCCTGTGCAGACACCCTGGCCGTCAGGCCAGTGTGGGTGCCATGCATTCTCTGTTTGCTTTCCACATGACTGAGCATGGAACCCAGTGGAGAGATACTTGCCCAGATAGGTCGGGCTGTGACTCTGTAATATACACACTGAATCGCTTCTTGGCAGCCACAGCTGCTTCCAGCACCCGCAGGACCACTCTGGAGTAGGCATGTGTCAATATTCTCTGTGGACAAGAAAGCTCCGTCAAAGGCTAGGCCCTGTGTGCAGCCGAGCCACCAGCCTTGCTGGGAAATAGGCTGCTGGCATGTGAAGCTTCTGGGCAGGCTTTCTCACAAATGCACTATAGCCAGGAAGGAGAACTCCATTGGACCTGAAGGTCGAGCCCACTCACAAGCCAAAGGAGCTTTTGTGTCCCTGGTGGAGCGGCACACAGTTACAAGCCAACAGCCTCTGGATAAGGCAAGGGCACCTTGCCTGTTCATACGCACCAGGCAGGTCCTGGGAACAAATGCAGTTGGCCAGTGGCACAGCACAGGTAAAGGGGACAAGCCCCCGTAGTGCCTGCTGCTCTCACCTGCTCACCTCTATTGCCAGAGCATCTAGTTTTCCTATAAGATGTGAAATCTGCTATGTCTTTTTTGTTTTTTGGGTCGGTCATGGGGCCTAAACTCTGGGCTTGGGTGCTGTCCCAATGCTCTTCAGCTCAAGGCAAGCGCTCTACCACTTGAGCCACAGCCCAACTTCCGGTTCTCTAGTGGTTTATTAGCGATCTCACGGAGTTTCCTGCCCAGGCTGGCTTTGAACCATGATCCTCAGATCTCAGCCTCCTGAGTAGCTAGGACGACAGGCGTGAGCCACTGGCGCCTGGCTTGGAATGTCTTTTTAAATATATAGACTCCAAAACTACAAGCCCATCTGTGGTCAGATGATAATTTGTGAACGCCCACACATGGTCTCTACAGAACAGCTCAGGAGACTAACAGCATGGTGGCTGCCCTCCCTACTGTCAGGCTGCACTACCACTTTTTGTTGAAAATCCAGGTTCTTGGGGCCTACCCACACTAACAAAAACAGTCCACTTTTTTGTAGGAAATGCAGGTGTTCAGAGCTACCTGTACCAACTGAAACTGTGTGCCAAGCCCCCACATGATTCAGTGCAGCTGCCAAAATCTGCATAGCGCTGGCGGTGGTGAGGCTGCAGGGAGAGGCTCCTGGGCCTGGCCACCACCTGGTCCCTAAGACTTTGTTTGCCACTGGATCTGTACAAGTTCTACTAGTGCCCTGTGAGTCACTTTTTTTTTGGGTCGGTTGTGGGGCTTGAACTCTGGGTCTGGGTGCTGTCCCTGAGTTCTTCAGCTCAAGACTAGTGCTCTACCACTTGGGCCACAGCACTACTTCTGGTTTTCTGGTGGTTTATTGGAGAGAAGAGTCTCAGAGTTTCCTGCCTGGGCTGGCTTTGAACCATGATCCTCAGATCTCAACTTCCTTAATAGCTAGGACGACAGGCATGAGTCACTGGCGCCTGGCTATAACAACATACTTCAAAGGTTGTAAAAAGGCAATGGAACAGGATAAGATTTAAGAGTCAAGGGTAATTATGTTTTATAGACAGTGAAGGCTCAGGCAGAAGTGTCACCACCCACTGCTGGGGACTGGCTTGACCTGCAATGCCTGTCTTCCTGCAACTCGTGAACAGTAGGCAGCTTTGTGTAGTGGCAGAAGCCATGTTTGAGAGTAAGTCTCCACTGTCCACTGCCAGCAGACGACTGGTATTAATCTGTCACAGGAGCTGCTCTGTGGATGGAGTTCAGGATAACATACTGCACATTCACACAAAGATTTCTTTGGAAAAACAACTTATTCAGTCCAGAATCTCTACAAACCATCCCATGTCATCACAACAATCTAGTAGATAGGTACTAGTACTGCCTTTAACAGAAGCTAAATAACTTGTCCAAGATTCCCCAGCAGATAAATGGCAGAGCTGAGATTTTGCCCTTGCTGCTAAGTGCCACATATTAGAGATATTTACTCACCGCTCCATCTTTGATGAAAGTATGGCATAGATCTGCAATTTTACTTCTCGACAGTGATATTCTCCTGAGAAAAAGCTCTCCCCGTTCAATCATGATCTTTTTACATTTGGAATAATCCTAGAAAGGAAACAGCAAAGCTGAGACTATCTGGGGACAGGCAGAGCAGCAAAGTGGGGGGAGGTAGCTGAGGGAGGGCAGGGCTTACAGAGTACTCCAGGGAGGTAAGGCTGATGAAGCGAAGGAAGAGCTCCCCACCAGAGGACACTGCCACCGAGGAGTCCACCCCACACAGGATTTCTATGGCACTGGTGAGATTCGCTCTCAGGCCCTGGATTGTCTCCCCTGGAACGATGGAAGGATTCATGTGATGGTGGTCATCTCAATGTCACGTGATTCCCACTTCCCCCCAGTAATCAACCTGAACAGAAAAGTTCTTGATACTCCATCTCTAAAATAAACAGATAAAAGCAGGGCTAAAGGTTTGACTCAAGTGATAGAGCACCTGCCTACTGTGAGATCTTGAAACCACAGTACTACCAAAATAAAAGAAGGAAAGAGAGGCCAACAGGTTTGAATCTTGTTTCAGTAAGGGATAGCATGGAAGGTAATGAAGTACTGGTAGCAAGACAGTATAGGAGAGCCAAGTACTTGGAAGATACTGGAGACCCATGCCCTTAAGCCTCTAAGCAAGCATTATTACTATTATCACTGTAGGAGAGGTCATGCTATATCCGGATGCTGACATTTAGAATGCAGAGTTAGAGACAGCACAATGACTGGTATGAACACCAGAATTTATTATGGAACATTCTCAATAGCATCTGAGCAGAATAGGGGATAAAGTAGACATTCAATGCATGTCGATAAAGTTGAACTGCTTTCATTTCAGCTTCATGTGAATACAAGGGCCACTCGATTCACAGTCTATTTCAGTCAGTTATGACGCAAGTTTTTCTGGGTACTAGGGACTGAAACCAGGGTCTCACTCACATGCTAAGCAAGTGTTTGACCTCTTATGCACACCATTTTCCTAAAGGAAACCTTTTCTGTCAGTCATGGGGCTTGAACTCAGGGCCTAGGTACTTCCCCTGAGCTCTTTGCTCAAGGCTAGCACTCTACCACTTTGAGCCACCCCGCCCCTTCTGTTTTTGAGAGGTTAATTGAAGATAAGACTTTCATAGGGACTTCTCTGCCTGGGCTGGCTTTGAATGGCAATCCTTAAATCTCAGCCTCCAGAATAGCTAGGATTACAGGTGTGGACCACCAGCACCCTATTTAAACGGAATGTTTTTGATGATAGCTTGAGGGCTCCTTCCAGGTTAAAAGGCCTGAAATAAAAGGCAGAAGCTGATCTTGAGGCTGTAGACAAATCTGCAGCTATCACATCACATTTTTTTTTTTCTGGCTGGTCATGGGGCTTGAACTCTAGGCCTGGGCGCTGTCCCTCAGATCTTCAGCTCAAGGCTAGCACTCCACCACTTGAGCCACAGTGCCACTTCCAGCCTTTTCTGTTTATGTGGTGCTGAGGAATTGAACCCAGAACCTCATGCGTGAGAGGCAAGCACTCTAACACTGAGCCACCTTCCCAGCCCCACATTTTTAATTATTAGCAGACTTTCCTAAGGCTCCCAGCTGCTCATGGGTGACCCTTAGTACCTTTATCTCTCTTCAGGAACTCCAGTAAAGTCTGGATGGCAGCCACTGCTGAAGCCATGTCAGGGTCTTCTTTCATCTGAGACTTAAAGTATTCAATTAATTCTGGGAGGGAAAGAAAAAGTTATTCATTACATTCACTCAGCAATTCCTCCAAGTCCAGCCACATACAAATAATATGTAGCGTTTTACAACCTCAGTGCATTTTTTTTACATTAACAAAACACTTAGGGCTGGGAATGTGGCTTAGTGGTAGGGTTCTTGCCTAGCATACATAAAACCCTGGGTTCGATTCCTCAGTACCACATAAACAAAAAGACGAAGTGACACTGTGGTTCAAGTGTTAGAGTGCTAGCCTTGAGCAAAAGAAGCTCAGGGACAGTGCCCAGGCTCCAAGTTCAAACCCTAGGACTGGAACAAAACAAAAACACTTAGGGGTGAACAAGGGGAAAGAGGAAGAGGGAGCGAGGAGTGTGTGTGTGTCCTCCAGTGGGTTATCCCCAGGAAGCAGAAGCAGCGAGTGGGGTTCTGAGTCCAGCCGAGAGCCAGTGTGGGCATGTAAGGTCCAGGTGGGCCTGGTTCTGCTTTGTTCTCAGCGCCCTGGTCCGCCCCGATTACCCTTCTGGTCCATGATGACCCCCGGGCCGCGGGAACCGACGCGAGGGCAGCCGTCAACTCTCCTGCGGGAGCTCCCGACAAACGCGCCCGCAGCGAGCCACACACTGAGGGCGCCGGGCGCACCTCCCGCGTCACTTCCGGGTTCCTGGGGGCGGGGCCTTGAGAACTGGCCGGGGGCGATCCGCCTAGACGTCACTCTTGCGCGCCGGAAGTCAGGCTTTGCGCTCTCTGGACGCTGGCTGCACCATTGCCAGCTGTTCCCCGGGCGTCGCTGCACCATGGTCTCCGAAGGTGAGGGCAGCTGCGGGCGGGACACTGGACCCGGGTCCCAGGGCTGGACGCCTCGGCCCGCCGAAGGGAGTGTGTCTTTGGGCTGGGTGGGACCTCCGGCGGCGTAGCCCTGTGTCTCATTCATTCAGTGACTTTCTGGGTCGCCTCCCGCGTGTCGGGGAGCGCGGCCGGGGCCGGGACGCAGGGAGGCTGGTGGAGAAACGATCCCGGGGGCCAGAGGCGTGAGCACGGAAGATCCATTTCGAAGGGGTTGGAGGGCGAGGCCAGGACGTGCTCACCAGCGTCGGGAGGACCCACTTTTCGTTAGAAGGAAAGGGCGAGATGGAAGGAAGACTTGATTACCAACTTCGGAGAGAAGTGCATTTTATTTATGTATTTATTTTCCAAAATTTTTTATTGTGATTAAGTGGTTACATAATTTCCCAGATTTCACAGTATTGTGGGATAGTGATGCTCAGTTAAAGCCACAAACACATTCTAACTCTCATGGGGCAAATTGTCTAACATGGTCTATAACATTGAGAGTGCATTGCAAAGAAAGGCCCTGGGGCAGGCCGAGATACCCGGTGACGCTTGAGAGAAACCGGGAGGTGAGGAGTTTTGTGTTCATGAATCAAACTACTGGTTATAGAGCTTTGAGGTCTTTGGAGAAAGAAGTGAGGGTTGAGCCGTACTTGTGAGCGTGTCATAAAGCTGGTGTAGGTTTTTTGGGTGTGAGTATGTGTGTTTCTTTTTTTGTGTGTGTCGGTCGTGGGGTTTGAACTCTGGGCCTGGGCACTGTTCCTCAGCTCTTCAGTTCAAGGCTAGCGCTCTACCACGTGAGCTAAGGCGCCACTTCCGGTTTTCTGGTGGTTTATGGGAGATAGGAGTCTCACGGACTTTCCTGCCCGGGCTGGCTTTGAACCATGATCCTCAGATCTCAGCCTCCTGAGTAGCTAGGATGACAGGCGTGAGCCACCTGCGCCGGGCAGTGTGTTTCTTTCTTTTGAGACAGGATCTCAGAGATTGGAACTCTTATCCTCCTGTCTCAGCCTTCTCCCCAGTTGCTGAGATGACTGACCTGGCTGGTGTAGGGTTATCACAGCAAATTTTTTTTGGGGGGGGGGTCTGGTCTGGGCGCTGTCCCTCAGCTCTTCAGCTCAAGGTTAGCGCTCTACCACTTGAGCCACATCACCACTTCTGGCTTTTTTCTTTTTGCTTATGTGGTGCTGAGGAATCGAACCCAGGGCCTCATGCATGCAAGGCAAGCGCTCTTCCACTGAGCCACCTTCCCAGCCCCTTCACAGCAAAAATCTTATAGTAATTCCTTTTTTCCCTTTTGGTTGGGCTCTGTCTGTCTCTCCCTCCCCCCTCTCCCTCCCTCCCTTTATTCCTCTCTTTGTCCCTCTCCCCCTTTGTCCCCCCTCCCCCACTCCCCTCTCTTTTCCTGTCTCTGACCATAATCCTTTTACCCTAAACTATGGCCTTGTGATTAGCTAGGATTTCAGGTGTGCTCTGTCATGCTTAGCTTACTTGTTGAAGTAGTGTCTCACTTTTCTTTTTGCCTGGGGTGGCCTTGAACAATCATCCTCCTGAGTAACTGGGATTTTATCTGTTCTTTTTAAAAATTGGTTTTTAAAAATTGGTTCCTCATTGCACCTGGCCCAGCTGCTGGATGTATGGATGAACACTGGGCCAAAATAGCTCCTACATCTCTCTCTAGTCTGCTGTGCCTGAAATTCTACTGGTGACCCTACTACTGGTTATTTCTTGCCTTCTGCCCTTGGCCAGGCATTTAAAATGCAAGTGTCTTGGAGTTTATTTGGTCAATATTTATTGGGTGTGTGCTGTTTGCTGGATGTGGAAGATAAGTAGTGAATAGAATGGACCGAAATCCCTGCCCTGTGGTGTTTCCTGTTTTGTGTAGTAGTGCAGGGAATAGGTGGGGCCTGCTTGAGGGCCCAGTAAGCTGAATGCTAAAAAGAACTTGGCCTATTAGTTTCCTGACTGCAAGGCGCTAAACATTGAAGGGCTGGTCTTAAACTTACTTTACACTTTGCAATGTTACCTTTGACTGATTTTCATGAGCTAATGGTTTTAAAATGAATTTCTTATTGATGATTTCAGAGGAGGAATTGAATCTTTTGGTCATCATAGTTGATACCAATCCAATTTGGTGGGGGAAGCAAGCATTAAAGGAATCCCAGGTAAGATGGTGTAAGGCCTTCAGATGATTTTGTTTAAATTGGAGTATATTTGTATTCGTTCTTAAAGAGCTTTATTAAGATATAGCTTACCTGCCATAAAATTTACCTAGCATATCTCTCTCATTCTCCCTCTCCTCCTCCCCTATTTCCCCTCCCCCCCTTCCTTCTTTCTTGAGACAGGATCTTACTATGTAGCCCCGGCTGGCATTAAACTCTCCATCCTCCTTGTGCTGGAATTACAGGCATGTCCCAATAGGTCAGGCTTTGGACCATTACTTTTCACTACATAAAGTTCCCTCATACAGGAGTTTGATAATTGTTGCCCCCATCCCCTCTCCCTGTTGCCTTTTCTAGATATCATACAGTATCTAGTCTTTAAAAATGGGAAAATTATATTATTTTCTTCTCCAGTTAGCCAGCAAAAAGCTGGAAATCGAAGTGTAGCTCAAATGGTAGAGGGAGGGGCTCTGAGTTCAAGCCCCAGTACTGGCACAAAAATGATTTTAAAAAAAATGTTTTTGCTTATAGTTTTGGAGGAAAGTTGCTCCTGAGCAGTGTTAGGTTTTTAAAAAGAGATAGCAAGAACTGCACCACGCACGTGGTATTCAGGTAAGGGGTAAGTTTATTCAGTAGACCTGCTGGGACCAGGCAAGGTTGGCACTCCACGTGGCTGGCAAAAGAGACCGTCTGGCCCCGGGTTTGGCCTTATATAGGGTAGGGGGCGGGGAAGGGTGTGTCCAGGTAAAGGGAAGTGGGATCAGGTGGGAGAAAGGTGTGGCCACATCAGATTAAGATGAGACCTCAGCGAATTCGGGTGTGACTTCTTCCAGGTTTCCCAGTTGCCTAGGTAACGCAGGTACTGGGCGAGGTCTGTTCGCCTTCAGGAATGGACCTTACAAGCAGATTTCAGTGAAACCTTAAGACTGGGCATGTTATCTGGAGTGCTAATTTGTTTTTCTCGTGTCCTCTCTTTGTTCACCAGTTCACGTTATCCAAGTGCATAGATGCTGTGATGGTGCTGGGGAACTCCCACTTATTCATGAGCCGCTCCAACAAGCTTGCTGTCATAGCAAGCCATTTCGAGGAAAGGTAGGAGTGACCATTGTCTCCTCCCTCCTGGTCCGTGCTTAGTGTTCATCGGGGTTTGTGCCTCTTGGCATTCACTGTACCTAGTCCAGGTGGCCAAAGGAATTTTGTCTGTAGCAGTGAAACAGCCAGTGCCTCAAGAAGCAGTACCTGGGCTGGGAAGGTGGCTCAGTGGTAGAGTGCTTGCCTTGCATGCCTGAGGCCCTGGGTTCCATTCCTCAGCACCACATAAGCAAAAAGAAAAAAGCCAGAAGTGGCTCTGTGGCTCAAGTGGTAGAGCGCAAGCCTTGAGCTGAAGAGCTGAGGGACAGTGCCCAGGCCCAGAGTTCAGGCCCCATGACTGGACCCCCCCCCCCCCCCCCAGAAAAAAAAAAGAAAGAAAGAAAGAAAGAATTTGAGTCTAGTTAGTTTGGGTAAAGTTAGCAAGACCCTGTTTCAAAAACTAAATATAACCAAAAAGGCGGGGGGGGGGGGCACAACTGAAGAAGTAGAGTACCTAACCATCATGCATAGGCTCTGGGTTTGGTCACTGGTACCACAAGTGAAAAAGGAATGAAGGATGGAGGAAGGAAGAAGAGGAAAGAATAGAATTATATGAGTGCAAAAACCAATGGGTTTATTTGGTTTTCTTCTGACTCCAGTGTTGTGATCTGTGAGGGCAAGGGCGCCCAGCCACTGTACTGAGGGTTTGCTACCGTTGCAGCCGGTTCCTGTATCCTGGGAAGCACGGCAGACTTGGAGACTTCTTTGGAGATGCTGGCAACCCCCTTCCTGACTGCAATCCCTCAGGGAGCAAAGATGGAAAATATGAGCTGTTGACGGCCGCAAATGAAGTGATAGTTGAAGAGATTAAAGATCTGATGACCAAGAGTAACAGCTTTTATTATCGTTGTTCCTGTTTTTTTTTTTTTTTTTTTTGTCGGTTGTGGAGCTTGAAATCTGGGCGTGAGCTCTCAGCTCTTCAGCTCAAGGCGAGCACTCTACCACTTGAGCTATGCCACCACTTCCGGTTTTCAGGTGGTTTATTGGAGATAAGAGTTTCATGGACTTTCCTGCTCAGGCTGGCTTTGAACCGAGATCCTCAGATTCTCAGCCTCCTGAGTAGCTAGGATTACAGACGTGAGCCACAGCACCCAGTGGACTGTTGTGGATTTTTTTTTTTTGTGGGTTATGGGGCATGAACTCTGGGCCTTGGCGCTGTCCCTCAGCTCTTCAGCTGTAGACTAGCGCTCTACCACTTGAGCCTCAGCCCCACTTCTGGCTTTTTCTGCTTATGTGGTGCTGAGGAATCAAACCAAGGGCCTCATGCATGCAAGGCAAGCACTCTACCACTGAGCCACCTTCCCAGCCCCACTGTTGTTGTGTTGTTGGCAGTTCACAAGAGTTGATTGGGGAGGTTCTTTTTCTAATTCTTCCATTCTGGTTTTTCTTTAATGTTGTTCCTTAAAATATATTTTAACGGAGGTGACACTGGCTCAAATGGTAGAGCTCTAGCCTTAGGCTGAAGAGCTGAGATACAGTGCACAGGCCCAGAGTTCAAACCCCACGACTGACCCAAAAAAAATTTTTTTAAGGCTGGGTGCCAGTGGCTCACACCTGTAATCCTAGCTACTCAGGAGGCTGAGGTCTGAGGATTGTGGTTCAAAGCCAGCCCGGGCAGGAACGTCCATGAGACTCTTATCTCCAGTTAACCACCAGAAAACCAGAAGTGGCACTGTGGTTCAAGTGGTTGAGTGCTAGCCTTGAGCTGAAGAGCTCAGAGAAAGCTCCCCGGCCCAGAGTTCAAGACCCACAACTGACCTCCCCCCCCTAAAAAAAAAAAAAAATATATATATATATATATATATGTACAATTCTGCACGTGCTTTTACAAGCCTTTCTTCCTCTAAATATTCTCATCTATATTTTTTTTTTGCCTTTTATTATCGTCTTCATTACCAAATACTTTGGCTTGAAAATGACTATAGTTGAAGAAAGTATTTTAAAATTCACTTTCCAATGCTTTTGACTCTTTGTAGGTGACATAAAAGGCCAACATACAGAAACTCTGCTGGCGGGGTCCCTGGCCAAAGCCCTCTGCTGTATCCTTTGATTCCATAGCTCAAGAGCAGGACAGTAGGGGTGGGGGATGAGGCGGGAGGGAGAGGGGAGGGGGTCCTCTGCAATGCGCAGATTTCACTTCTAGCTCTAGATGGAGACATTTTCTAGCTTTTGGGTATGGACATTCATGAGAACAACAGTTTATATTCCTTAATGATAAGAACTTAAGATATTCATAGAATGAATAAGGAAGTCAAAGGTAGGAGCCTGTGTTTTTTTTTCTTTTCTTTTTGGTCGGTCGTGAGGCTTGAACTCTGGGCCTGGGTGCCATCCCTGCGCTCTTCAGCTCAAGGCCAGCGCTCTACTGCTTGAGCCACAGCGCCACTTCCAGTTTTCTCATGGTTTATTGGAGATAAGAGTCTCATGGACTTTCCTGCCCTGGCTGGCTTTGAACTGCGATCCTCACCTGAGTAGCCTGTGTTTTTCTATGAGAACTGTAATCCTGCTGTATGTTTGTTGGGGTGATTAAAAATTGAGTAGAAAGCCACTTGTTTGCTGAGCCACACCCTATCAGTTCAATTGTGACCTGTTTTATTTCTTTGTAGATAATCAAGAGATGAAATCAAGGATACTGGTAAGATTTGAAAAAGTGTCACCATGTTCATGTACAATTGCAAATGATGAGAAAACATACTGGGAAGGGCTGGAGATGGACATCTGAGGCAGGGCACTGCCTGTCAGCATGTATAAGCCTCTGAGTTGAATCCCCAGCCGTAGAGGGAAAGATGAAGACAGGATTGTGGTTTGAAGTCAGCCAGTAATCCAGGAAAGTTTGTAAGACTATCTCAAAATGACCACACACACACACACACACACACACACACACACACACACACACACACACACACACACACACACACACACACACACACACACACACACACACACACACACACACACACACACACACACACACACACCTCAATGGCGAAATGCTTGCCTAGTAGGTGTAGCACTCTGGGTTCAGTTCCCAGTAAAACACACACACACACACACACACACACACACACACACACGTACGTAGCTCAATGGCGAAATGCTTGCCTAGTAGGTGTAGCACTCTGGGTTCAGTTCCCAGTAAAACACACATACACACACACACACACACACACACCTAAAAATGGAGCTGTGGCTCAAGTAGAAGTGAATCCCCAGTAGACCCTGAGACTTTATCTCCAATTAGCTACCAGAAAACCAGAAGTGGCACTGTGACTCAAGTGGTAGAGTGCTCACCTTGACCTGAAGAGTTCAGGGACAGTGCCCAGACCTAGAGTTAAAGCCCAATGATGACAAAAAATAAAAAGAGCTCATTATCTTATCTATCTATCTATCTATAATTTTTGTGGTGCTGGGGTTTAAACCTAGGGGCATTGTGTACCCTAGGCAAGTTCTCTACCATTTAGCTACATCTCCAGCCATAAATTGTTTTTTTTTTTTAAATAAAAAAATTCTTGTACCATCTTGGGCCTTGAACTCAGGTCCCTAGTGCTGTCTCTAAGCCTTTTTCTTTTGGTCAAGGCTGGTGCTCTAGCACTTGAGCTGCAGCTCCACTTCTGGCTTTATTTTGGTAGTTTATTGAAGATAAGTGTCTCATACTTCTTTTTTCTTCTGAGCCAGCTTTGAACCTCAATCCTCAGATCATAGCCTCCTGAGTAGCTACGATTTCAGGTGTGAGTCGCTGGCACCTGGCCATAAATTGATTTTTGAAAGTCAAGTTTACTTGCAAAAAACAAAGAACCATCAAATGATAGACTTTTCATTGCTTGTTGTTCTGTACAAATAAAAACCCTGCCAGGTCCCAGGGCCAGTGTAGGGTTGGGTGGGGTTGCTCCCATGTGTCATTGCTGTTGGTAGCTGGTAGATTTTCAGAAGGGAGTTGGGTAATTACCAAAAGTGAATGCATGCATTTTGGCAGTCACACTGGTGTTCAGGAGTAGTCAGATAGCTGTGCAAAGAGTGTGTGGTCCGAGCATTGATTAAACATGTGGAAACTGCTTCCATGCCCTTTGTAGACCAATAGTGGACAGTGGAAGTGTTTGAAGTCAGAAGGGTGTATACAGGCATCGAAGCCAACTCTGGCTGCCTGCTGAAGGATACAGGCCACAGCCTCGCTGTGGAGTAGGCCTGGGAGGTTCACTCTTCAAGCAACAGAAAAATCGCCCAGTGACATAGTTGTTAGAACTCAGCCCTGCCATCAAATGATAGACATTCTGTTCTGTTTCATGGGCATAAAGACCACTTCCTGCTGTATACTGTGTACTGGAAAAAAAGCAGGCTGTGTGACTTGTAGGTAGAGTGTATACCTCTGTGTGTGTGTGCGTGTGTGCATGCGCGCAGGTGCACACAGGGCCGTCTAGGAGGAGGATCATCAGGGGACTTTTCTCTGCAGTAGGATTTGGGGAATTCTGTCGACTGTACATTCAGATATTATTTAACGGTGATAAAAGGCAAATTGCAGACATGACAGTGGCAGTGTAATGTTGGGGGTCTGGTGTGTGCTTTTTAGGTGATCAAGGCTGCAGAAGACAGCGCGCTGCAGTACATGAACTTCATGAACGTTATCTTTGCTGCGCAGAAGCAGGTGAGTTGAGGGCCATCCTCAGAGCGTCCTGCTTCCCAGAGAAGGAATCACTTCACCAACCCATGTATTTGGCTAAAGAGCTTTAGTAATGGACTAGGAGTCCAGAATCCACACGGGGGCCTGGTCACTTCTCACTTGGGCCTGGGGCCCATAGAACAGTGCACCCAAAGTGCAGATTTGCACTATGTTAGGGAAGAAGGCAACCTCCCCCTCCCGCCCCACCCTGTTTTTTAAGCTCATCTTGGCCCCAGCTAAGAATTGTTGATCTCACAGCTTGCTGCATGAGCCTTGCCTGTTTCAGGGAGGTGTATAAAGATTTGGTATTTTTACTTTGCAAATAACTGAAATGTCCATATGAATTTTGATTCATTGATACATTTATTTAGAAAAAAGACAGAATGCCTCTGACCTTGAGTTTTAATGTGAAGTGCAGCTCCAGCCGTGTGTAATATTCGCCATGGAAGCATGGCCGTGTGCGATTCTGAGTATCACGGCAGAGCGCAGTAACCGCAGCCTGGCCAGGTCTGGTGCTGAGCTGCCCGTCGAAGTTCTGCCTGTGCAGTCCGTGCATGTGGAACGCGGGTCTGAAGGACAGACAATGCTTGCTATCCCTACGCCTATAATGTTTTGAATGTTTTTTCAGAGTATTTTGATTGATGCCTGCGTTTTAGATTCAGATTCAGGACTCCTCCAGCAGGTATGTTTTCAGTGAGCACCTGGTATTGGTGGGGATAGAAAATATTTTTGGGGGGGCTGGGAAGATGGCTCAATGGTAGAGTGCTTGCCTTGCATACATGAGGCCCTGGGTTCGATTCCTCAGCACCACATAAGAAGAAAAAAAAAAAGGTCGAAGTGGCGCTGTGACTCAAGTGGTAGAGCGCTAGCCTTGAGCTGAGGTACAGCGCCCAGGCCCACAGTTCAGTCCCTACGACCGGACCAAAAAAAAATATACATATATTTTTTTGTGCCAGGCACTGGTGGCTCACCCCTGTCATCCTAGCTACTCAGGAGGCTGAGGTCTGAGGATCACGGTTCAAAGCCAGCCCGGGCAGGAAAGTCTGTGAGACTTATCTCCAAAGTCTGTGAGACTTATCTCCAATGAACCACCAGAAAACCAGAAGTGGTACTGTGGCTCAAGTGGTAGAGCGCTATCCTTGAGCTGAAGAGCTGAGGGACAGCACTCAGGCCCAGAGTTCAAACCGTACAACTGACAAAAAAAAAAAGAAAATTTTTTTTGTATTGGTACATCTTAAAATGATAGTCCTATGGATATCCTGGGTTAAATGAAGTGTTACTAATTGTATCTGGTGTATTTCTGTTATAAAGGTGACTCCCCTAATTAAAAAACTGGATTTTTCTATGTGGCCTCTGCTCCTGTCTCAGTGAGTGGCAGTACAGTTTACTTGACAAGTCCAACCCAATCCTGACTTGTCCTGTCTGTTCTCTTGCTCTTCTTTTACGTCTACCAGCAAGTCCTGTTGTGTCTGTCCCTAACAAGACTCAGGCCAGAGGCAGCTACCTGTCATCCTCTGAAGGAGGCTGCAGCAGTCCTCTGTTGTCTGTTTATCTTCCTGTCAAAGGTGGTTCTCACCCCAGCAGTCAGAACTCTAGAGATGAGATCATGTCACTCCCTTGCTTAAACCTTCCCCTTGAATCCCATGGGTCTCTTGTTGCTCATATGCAGTGTCCTGACTTTCTCGTTCTCTGCAGACATAGAGTGCTCCTGCCATCCCCTGTGCCTTCTGCTGGGCCCTCAGGCCTGTTACTTGGCCCCACTCAGGTCCCTGCTTTGGGTCACCTCCCCAGAGAAGCCCTCCCTGACCATTCCTCACTTCTCTTAGAAATGATCCTAGCCTGTAACATTATTCCTGTGGTAACCATCCTGATTCACTGTCTCTCTGAACACACCGGAACACTCACTTTGTGAGGATGGCACCCTGCTTGTCCTGTTCCTTGCCATAGCCTTTAAGAGTGGGCCAGGGGCAGGAGGATTCTTCCAGAAAGAGTCATGACATCAGGAATCACCCTCACACACCAGCTGAGCCTTTGCAGACCTGAAGAGCCCCTGGGGACTCCCAAGTAGGGACTGGTTTGGCAGAGGGTCTGCTGTGTGTCTTGCAGGCATGTGACATCACTGGAGGACTGTACCTGAAGGTGCCTCAGATGCCGTCACTCCTGCAGTATTTACTGGTAATGAACTAGCTGTGTCACCATGTGGTGGGGCCTGACAGTGAAAGCAGTGGGCAGGTGTGAGCAGCGGGGGAGGTTGGGCTTCGGGTCCTCTCAGAACACCATGTGACTGTTTATAACAGTCCGAAGCCATGGTTGAATGGATGCTCTGTTCTAATTTCTGGTATTCTTTGCCCTTGTTTTGTTTTTTTGTTTATTTGTACTTTTTTATAGGTTGTGGTGCTTGAACTCAATACCTGGGTGCTACCCCTGATCTCTTTTGCTTAAGGCTAGCACTCTACCACTTTGAGCCATAGCTTGACTTCTGGTTTTCTAGTGGTTAATTGGAGATAAGAATCTCATGGGGACTTTTCTGCCTGGGCTGGCTTCAAATCATAATCCTCAGATCTCAGCCTCCTGAGTAGCTAGGATTTTAGGTGTGAGCCACCAGTGCCCAGCTACCCTTGTTTACCCTTGTTTTAAATAGAAGTTCCCTTGCCTCTAGAAAAAAAGTTGGGCCAGGTGCTGGTACCTCATGCCTGTAATCCTGGCTACTCAAGAGGCTGAGATCTGAGGATCACAGTTCAAAGCTAGGTCGGGCTGGAAAGACTTTTTTTTTGTCTTTTTTTTTTTTGGTACTGGGGATCGAACCCAGGACGTTGCACTTGCTTGGCAAGCGCTTTGCCACCGAGCTACATACCAGCCCGAGAAAGACTCTGATCTCCAATAAACCACTCAGAAAACCGCAAGTGGCGCTGTGGCTCAAGTGGAGAGCACTCGCCTTGAGCTGAAGAGCTGAGGAACAGTGCCCAGGCCCAGAGTTCAAGCCCCACAACTGACAAAACAATTTTTTTTGTTCCAGAGCGGGGTTTCACTGTTGCATCTCCACACTGTTATATTATGCTCCTATCTCATCGGCATTACTTTTTTTTTCTTACAGTGGGTTTTTCTTCCTGATCAGGACCAGAGATCTCAGTTAATTCTTCCACCCCCAATTCATGTGGATTACAGGGCTGCTTGCTTCTGCCATCGGAATCTCATTGAAATTGGTTATGTCTGTTCTGTGTGTCTGTCAAGTAAGTTAATGTGTTGGTTTCCTTGTTTCTATGGTGGGGTAGGGGAAGAAAATCTCCACTCTGCTCTTTAAACACTCCTGGCTTTTGTCTTTTTTTTTATTTTATAGTTTTCTGCAACTTCAGCCCCATCTGCACCACGTGTGAGTAAGTATCAGGTGTGCGAGTGGCTCACGCTTTGTAGACCTAGAGCACTAAAACATATACTCTGTCATTTCAGGACAGCCTTTAAGATTTCTCTTCCTCCTGTACTGAAGGCCAAGAAAAAGAAACAGAAAACGTCCACGTGACTGAGAAACAACAAGTACAGTGCAGATGTCATGGCTTAAGGCCATGCACAGGTGTTATGGGGTCAGAGCTCCTTGGGAGCTCTGAAAAACCGGCTATATATAGAATAATTTCTTGCAGGAAATACTTGAAAAACTTATCCTGTGTTTCTTGAGGCCCCTTTCTCAAGGGCATCCTATGCAGTATGTCTTGAAACCTCCCCTGGTTAGTGTTTGTATAGAAATGGGGTAAAGCACAAATTTGATGAATTTAAGGTAGCAGTCAGTTGTATAGCAGAAGCCAACTGATGACTTTGGCTTTGCTGGTGCTGGGATTGGCACGGGGCCTGCTTTGTGCTTGGCAGGCAGGCAGGCAGGCACCCCACTGCTGAGCTTCAACAACCAGTCCGTTTATTGTTTTGTTTTAAGTATATTTGCAAAAGTACATTTGTGCAAATAGATTTAAGTTTTCTCTTTAGACCATCTCAGAAGGTGAATTTTATTTAAATAATTTGGTATCTGGTTGGTAATTTCTAGTAGATTTTGTATTCTGCATTTGCAGGATTTTTAATAAGTATACAAGTATTTTGGTGATCACGTTGCAATTATTTGTTAATCCTTGAGATTGAGAATCACTTTGTCCTTTAAAAAACATTGACTAGGGGCTTGGGGCCATGGCTCAAGTGGTAGAGTGTTGTTGAGCAAGCATAAGGCCCTGAGTACCAACAGAAAAATAAAGTAAAAGGATTTACTGTTTCACAGACTGAAGGTAATGAATAAGTATTTTCAGTCTAGGAATGTTTTATAGATAAGATGAATAATCTTTGAGACAAGCTGACAAGGCTTTGGTATTTTTCATTTGAAATGTTTTATATTCTTGGTTCTGTTCAAGTCTTATTTTTAACGTTTATGATGTATTTTATATAAATTTGCTAATAAAATAAAATTTCATATTTGGCTGAATTATTTCCTCTTATTCATTGTTTATCTTAGGCATATATCTTCACACACACACACATTTTTTTTTTTTTTTTTGGTCATTTGTGGCACTTGAACTAAGGGCCTGGGTACTGTCTGTGACCTCTTTTGCTCAAGGCACGAGCTCTACCACTTTGAGCCACAGATTTACTTCTGGTTTTTGTGTAGTTAATTGGAAATAAGATTCTCACAGGAACTTTTCTGCTGGCCTGGCTTCTAATGACAATCCTCAGATCTCAGCCTCCTGAGTAGCTAGGATGACATGCGGGAGCCTTTAGCTCTTAACTGGTATGTTTGGCTTTTTTTCCTTGTAGTTTTCCAGGTTCATCCCCATGTCTGGCTTCTTTGTAGAATCCAACAGGTGGAGCTACTTTGGAACATTCTTTCCAGCTAGTCAGAAGGCCAGCTAGTGTTCTGGTGTTAAGACTTTAAAGGTCCACACTCCATCTCCTACCTGGCTAGTAGTGTCAATTTCTCAGGAGTTAAATCATCCAATCATCCCTGGAGAGGCACTAATCCTAAACTAGATCCATCGTAAGCAAACTCCACAAGTTATGAAACACTTTCTTTGTATTTTCTCTCTCTTTTTTGGTCACAGGGCTTGAACTCGGCCCAGGCACTGTCCCTGAGCTCTTTTTGCTCAAGGATAGCATTCTACCACTGAACCACAGCTCTGGTTCGGGTTTTTGAGTGGTTAATTGGAGATAAGAACCTCATAGGGACTTTCCTGCCCAGGCTGGCTTTGAATTTCGATCCTCAGGTCTTAGCCTCCTGAATAGGATTACAGGTGTGAGCCATTGTCACCCGGCTCTTCAAATTATTTATCTTTTTTTTTTTTTTTGGTGCCTGAACTCTGGGCCTGGGCGCTGTCCCTCAGCTCTTCAGCTCAAGGCTAGCGCTCTACCACTTGAGCCACAACACCACTTCCGGCTTTTTTCTTTTTGCTTATATGGTGCTGAGGAATCGAACTCAGGGCCTCATGCATGCAAGGCAAGCGCTCTACCACTGAGCCACCTTCCCAGCCCTCTTCGAATTATTTATAGGGAAGAAAATTTGTGGAAGACAGGAATAGGGCAGAAGTTGGATATTTAGAAATGTTTACTTTTCAGACATTTTCTAGGCTTTGGAGTTGGCTATGCTGACTTAATTTGTAGACTTAATACCCTAAAGATAGATGGGGAACACCAAGTATTTAAAAATCTTGCCTCCTAGAAAGCTTTAGTCCTGGATACTGAGAATCACTACAGTCCTCTAGAAAGGAGTCGAGGTGCAGGGAAAAACTGAATGTCATTCATTGTTTTAACTATAGCAATCCGAGATTTGCAAGAGTAAGAAACAACCATTACAAGGCCATAACTTTCAGAATCTTCAGAATAAAAGATGTATTGATCGATTAACGTTATTATTCTTGTTATGAAGTTATCCGTGTAGCCCGGCACAGTGGCTCCTGCCTGCAGTCCTAGCTGCTCGGGAGGCTGAGTTTCTACATTTTCTTGGGGGCGACAAGGAAACCCGTTTCTCCTTACTTTTACCTAGAAAGTACATCTGGAAAACTAGGCTTGGGGGGCGGGGCCGAGGTGCTCTGGCCTTGGCCGGGGGCGGGCTTCCTTGCCTGCGGACCAATCGCGGCGCGCCGCTCCTCAGGTCGGATGCCGATTAGTGGTTGCCATGGCTGCGGGCGTTCGCTTGGCAAGATGGCGGCGGCAGGGCGGCGGCGCGGGCCGCCTTCTCCCCCGTGAGGCCGCGTCGCTCCCGGGGCCCGCGCGCGGCTGAAGGCATGGGCTTCCCGCCGGCGTCCGCTCTCCTGCCGGGACTCCTGCTGCTGCTGGGCGCCCTGAGGCCGCTGAGGGGGGACCTGGGTGTGTGCGCCCGGGGCCGGGGCCGGGGCCGGGGCCGGGGCCGGGGCGGCCTCGGGGCGGCCGCCGCTGACTCCGCCCGTCCGCTTCCTCCCGGCCAGTGTTCGTCCCCTCGGTCCTCCGGATGTCCAGCCCCGAGGTCAGCGCGTCCCTGGTCGGGGCCGGCGAGGAGGTGACGGTGTCCCTGGCCGAGCTGCCGGCGGAGGCGGGTAAAGATTCCGCCCGGGGGGCGCAGGGCTCCGCGGGCCCCCGCACGCCCCTGCCCGCCCCGCACGCCCCTGCACGCCCCGCACACCTGCCCGCCCCGCACGCCCCTGCACGCCCCGCACGCCCCTGCACGCCTGCCCGCCCCGCACGCCCCGCACGCCCCTGCACGCCCCGCACACCTGCCCGCCCCGCACGCCCCTGCACGCCCCGCACGCCCCTGCCCGCCCCGCACGCCCCTGCACGCCTGCCCGCCCCTGCCCGCCCCGCACACCTGTCCGCCCCTGCACGCCCCCGCAGGCCCCGCACACTGCCTGCCCTGCACGCCCCCGCAGGCCCCCGCAGGCCCCTGCACGCCCCGCACACCTGCCCGTCCCGCACGCCCCTGCACGCCTGCACGCCCCCGCACGCCCCGCACGCCTGCACGCCCCCGCACGCCCCACACACCTGCCCGCCCTGCACGCCCCCGCACGCCCCGCACACCTGCCCGCCCCGCATGCCCCTGCACGCCTGCCTGCCCTGCACGCCCCTGCACGCCCCCGCACGCCCCGCACACCTGCCCGCCCCGCACGCCCCGCACACCTGCCCGCCCGTCTCTCCTCAGGAGTGTGGCCACCCCCAGCGTGTGGCGAGCCGCGCGGGGACGCCGGGACCTGGAGCGTGGCCCTGACCCCCGGGGGCGCGGTAAGACCCTACGCCGAGGCCCTGCCCAGGGCTCCTGCAGTCCTCTCTGTCTGTGCGACTGTCTGTCTGTCTGTCGGTCCATCCGTCTGTTTGTCTGTCCCGTGCTGGAGACTGACTCTGGACCTTGTGCACGAGGCAAGTGATTTGACGCTGTGGGTTCCATGTCCAGAACTATGGACTTGTGCTCTCCGTGTGACACCCATCCAGCCCTGGTTTCTTACTCTAGGGTCAGGGGGTCCTCAGATGCATTTCAAGGGGGTCTGTGAAGGCTGTGAACTTGTGTGACGTTCTATGTATATTCTGTGGGGGTTTCTTTCCATGTATTTTCTATTCTGTGGGGTGTTTTTTCCATTTGTTTTCTTCTTCTTTTTTTTTTTTAAATTGTCATTTTCAAGGTACAGAAGGATTACCGTTACATGCCAGGTACAGAGGACATTTCTTTCTGGACGATGTACCCCCCCCCCCTTCCCTTGCACTCCGTGTATTTTTTGATGAAAAGGTCACCAGCCTTAGTCAGATAATCAAATGGGCCTGGTACTAAAGAAAAGTGCTTTATAACCATGGGTCTTGTTCAGGTCTGAGCTTCTGTGTTGGAACACACAAGCCTGGAGAGATTGACTGTCCTCTGTGAATCAGTGCTCACTGGGCAGCAACAGTACTGGAGATGGATGGAAGCAGATGCTAGCCTTTTTGTGCTGGTCTGGGGGCTTGAGCTCCAGATCTCATGCTCTTGCTTAGCTTTCTCTGGTCAAGGCTGGTGCTCTACTACTTGAGCCACATCTCCACTTCATGCTTTTGAATGATTAATTGGAGATAAGAGTTTCATAGATTTGTCTGCCTGGGTAGTTTCGTATCTGGATTGTCAGATCAGCCTCCTGACTAGGAGTATAGGCATAATCCACTAATACCCAGCATCATTCATCTTCTATTGGGAAGTTGATCTTCTATTAATGGATAAAAATCACACACAAAAAAGGTGCTTGGGCTGGGAAGGTGGCTCAGTGGTAGAGCACTTGCCTTGCATGCATGAGGCCCTGGGTTCAATTCCTCAGCACCACATAAGCAAAAAGAAAAAAACCAGAAGTGGCACTGTGGCTCAAGTGGTAGAGCGCTAGCCTTGAGCTGAAGAGCTGAGGGACAGCGCCAGGCCCAGAGTTCGGGCCCCATGACCAGACCCCCCCCCCAATAAAAAAAAGGTGCTCAACAAATTGAGCTCTGTATTGCACCTACACTTTGTGTTCTCTAAGGATCCACGTTCTTGCCTTTTATGTGAAAGCAGTAGGTTTGGAGATGGATTTGCAGAGGCTTATATCATGTTTGTATGCAGTTCTCCTTTTCTTAAAGAAATTAAGGATGGCCTATTATATTTCCTCCTAAGTGTAGATGCTGTTTGAGTCACTCTAGAAGCCCAGCAGTGAGCCATGGACAGGTGGCTTACGCCTATAATCCTAGCTACTCAGGAATCTGTGATCTGAGGATTGTGGTTTGAAGCCAACCCATCAGGAAGTCCAGGAGACTCTTATCTCTAATTAACAAGTGGTAGAGGAAAAAAAAAAAAAAAAAAAGCTAAGAGATAGCACCCAGACCCTGAGTTCATGTCCCTATACAAGTATAAAAAGTTAAAAAAAAAAAGTAAAAGTCTAGCATGGTTTCCTTTCAGAATGTGCTGGACGTGACTGTGCGCTTCAATGGCAGTCTGCAGTGCTCCTCGAATGAGACTGATTCCTTCTCCGAGATGCCGTGTCTTCTCCAGACCCTGCTGGTCTCCGCATCTCACAATTCCTCCTGCTTGGCACATCTCCTCATCCAGGTGGAGATGTATGCCAACTCTTCTCTCACCCAAAATGCATCAGGCAAGTAAAGCCCATCAATACACTCGCGTCCAGCCTTATCTGTTTGTTCTCCATACACACCTGAAGTTTGTTAAGCTTGCTTGTCCTCACTTTTGGCTATCTTCCCTTCCTAAATGCATCATTTTTTGACTAGCTTTCTTAAGTTTCCTCTGTGTACTGTTGCTGTATCTTTTGTATGCCTCTTTCAGTCCTTTTTGGGAAAGCACACTTGACTTTATTGGGAAGTTATTGGGAATGTCATGTATAAATAGCTGGATGTAGGAAACGTCAAGCATTTTATTTTATTTTTTTGTCAGTCTTGCAGCTTGAACTCAGGGCTTGGGCGCTGTCCCTGAACTCTTTTTGCTCAAGGCAAGAGCTCTACCACTTTGAGCCTACTTCCAGTTTTTGGGTGGTTAATTGGAGATAAGAGTTTCATGGGGACTTTTCTGCCCTTGGTGGCTTCCAGCCACAATCCTCAGGTATCAGTCTCCTGAGTGGCGTGAGCCACTGGCACTGGCACTTTGGTTATTATGAGATGTCTGCTCTGACCCTAGGAACATGTGGACAGATTTGCATCCAGTTGCCAAGAAATCCAGTTGCCAGAAACCAAAAAACAACATGAGAGGACAGAGAGGAGGTGGGAGTGACTGGTAGCCGTGAAGCTGGTGGATGGCATGGGACATATAGAGAGAGATCAGATTTCTCTTGTTGACAGTAAACCCTGAAATGCCCTGCTGTAGGCATGGGCTTGCTTACACACCTTGTAACAGGCTTGCACAGGGACAGACAACTTATTCCTGATCCATCTACCTTTGGGGGTCCTGCTATTTTTTTTTTTTTTTTGTCAGTTGTAAGGTTTGTCAGTTGAGGGCGCTGTCCTTCAGCTCTTCAGCTCAAGGCTAGCACTACCACTTGAGCCACAGTGCCACTTCCGGCTTGAGCCACCTTCCCAGCCCCCTGCTATGTTTTTGAGCTCTATATGGGGTTCGACGCTCATTAGATGCTTCTAGCAGCCACCCTTGGAGTTGGTTGCAAGCAGAGCTGCTGTGTGGTTTCTATCACCTTTTCAGACTACAAGGGCCAGCTTCTGTCCTTTCTCTGGTATAGCTATTCATTTTATCTGGCAAGTGATAGTGGGAAATTGAGAGGCATCGCCTTCCTAGAAGCTAAAGCACTGTGTGCCAATTCCGGCAAGAAAGGTCTCAAAGAATTTGAGGTTTTTTTTTAAAATTTCTTGATGATAATATTTTCTTGGGAGGAACATTACTGGAGTTTGAACTTATGGCGTTATGTCTTCTAGGCAGGTGCTCTACCACTTGAACCACACTTCCGGTGTGGCATTTTTGCTGGTTAATTGGAGATGAAATGTCACAAATTTTTCTGCCCAGGCTGCCTTTGAACTTTGATGCTTTGATATATAACTTTGATATATAATATCAGTCTTGAGTAGCTAAGATTACAAATATGCGCCTATATTTTGAATGTGCAGACAAGATGTTTGGTCCGATTATTGCCTGTTGGAATGTTTTCTGCTGGGTGTATTTTTCAGAGAACATGGCTGTCATTCCGCACCAGGTGTATCAGCCCCTGGGTTCTTGTCCTTGCAACTTAGTGGCCGGGGCCTGTGACATTCGCTGCTGCTGTGACCAGGTAGGTTCCATCATTGCGTGGGTCCACCACACGCTCTTCTCCACGCTGCCTTCACTTTGGGGCTGCTGTGAGCAGTGCTGCGGGGGAGTGTAGGTTTCTGCCACTGAGCCACCTTCCCAGCTCTGGAGTGTAGGCTTCTGGTGCTTGCACGTTTCATTCTAAGATGAAGTAGACTCCTTGCGCTGATGTTTCACCTTCGGCTCTTCTCCAGCTGCCTGCTAAAGCATTTTACATCCCTGTCAGCAACGTCCATGGGCTATACTTTTTCCATATCTTTGCCAACACTTATCTGTCCTTTTTTTTTTTTTTTAATGGTACTGGGATTGAATTAAGGGCCTCCAACTTGCTAGGCATGTGCTCTACCACTTGAGCCACGCCCCAGCCCCTGCCTGTTTTTTGATGATTGCCACTCTAGCAGGTGAGAAGTGAGGTTTCACTGAGATTTCAGCTTCCACTTTAGCAGCAGATACAGACATCCTTTCATGCACTGACGGGCTACTTGTAAGTCTTCATGGAGCAAAGTGCGGACTCCTTGCATGTCAGTGTTTATCACAGATATTCCTCATGGCCCTTATCAGATCCATGATGTGCAGAAGGCCTCTCCCTGCGTCCTGGTCCACCTTCTTGTTGTCTATGAGGGCCACATGTTTCCTAATTTGATAAGATCTCATTTATCTAAGTTCTCTTCTGCTTGTGTTTCTGGGTTCATATCCAAGAAATTGTGGCTTAGTCCTTGGTCCCCTGCATATGTGCATGTGTGTGCGTACACACACACACAAACACACACACACACTTCCTTTGTGCTAATACCAGGGCTTGAACTTTGCTTCACACTTTTTTTTTTTTCAGTCCTGAGGCTTGAACTCAGGGCTTAGGCTCTGTCCCTGAGTCTTCTCTTTGTTCAAGGCTAGCGCTCAACTACTTAAGCCACAGTACCACGTCTGGTTTTTTCTGGATATGTGGTACTGAGGAATGGAATCCAGGCGTCATGCATGCTAGGCAAGCACTCTACCACTAAGCCACATTTCAGCCCTTGACTTCATACTCTTTTTTTTTTTTTTTTTGCTGGTTGTGGAACCTGAACTCTGGGCCTGGGCGCTGTCCCTCAGCTCTTCAGCTCAAGGCCAGCGCCCTACCACTTGAACCACAGCACCACTTCCAGCTTTTTCTGCTTCTGTGGTGCCAAGGAATCGAACCCAGGGCCTCATGCATGCAAGGCAAGCACTCTACTACTGAGCCACCTTCCCAGCCCTCTATATTGATTTTTTTTAGTGTATCTGGTGCTTTATCCAGCTGATTCTCTTGAAGGCCCGAAGCATGTGTGGAGCTGCATAGGGAACCGACTAAGGAAATGCTACAAGTGTTTACAGCTTATACACACTTTCGGGGGGATAGGGGATTGCTGGGCTATGCACTGCTGACTGGGACCACGTGTTCTCATCGACCTGTGCCTGCTTTCAGGAGTGCTCCAGCCAGCTTCGAGAGCTGTTCAGGATGTCCTGCTTCTCAGGAGTGTTCGGGGGAGATGTGAACCCTGTGTTTGATCAGCTGTGCGCTGTGGGGACCACCTACCCCGTTCCTGACTGGTTTCCTCTCCTGTGTGTGCAGTCGTCCCTGGCCAACTCACCCTACCTTGGCCACTTCTACCATGGGGCTACGTGAGTGCTGAGCTGCTGCTGGGAAGGGCCTCGTTCCCCACGCCACAGACCCTGAATTTTGGACATGTTTTCCTCAGCATCTTAAAGAATTTTATTCTAGGTTTCAGTGTTTTGTTTTTTATTCCACTGTAGAGCTTGAACTCAGGGCCTGGGCTCTGTCCCTGAGCTCTTTTGCTCAAGGCTAGCATGCTAGTGGCATGAGGCCCCAGCACCCGGCTTCTTTTTTTTTTAATGTTGGAAAGAATTGAGCCTCAGGAAATAAACTAATTGCAGCTAGAGCCAATAGCTTATGTCTGTAACCTTAACCACTCAGACTGAGAGCTGAGGATCATGATTCAAAGCCAGACCAGGCAGGATAGTCTGTGAAACTTCTCTCTACTTAACCAGCAGAAAGCTAGAAGTAGAGGTGTGGCTTAAGTGACAAGAGCATTAGCTGAAGTTCAAGAATCTTAGTGAGTGCATGAGGCCCTGAATTCATGTTCTCTACATGTGTGCACATGCGCACATACACACACACACAGAGGAAGAAGTTGAAGGGAAGGGTCTCTGCAGATGCTAGCTGGAGGCATTAGTGATGGTTTTTCTCATGGACCTGCAGTTCTCCTAGACAGGACCCAGACTTTGATGTCTACCTGGAGCCTGGCCTCAAAGACTCTTCGGATCTGGGTTACAGACAGGGAGATCCAATCATGACTGCGAAGAAGACATATTTCACTGTTCCACAGGTAAGGACTGCCACTGTAACTTGCCAGCTCTTTTATTTTCCCCTTCCTGCTGCGAGTATACCACACCACACTCTTGGAAATTCTCCCTCGGTACTTGCTTATTTTTCCCCTGTGGATTTTCCAGGGACTTTGCTCCTAATTCTCAGAACGGACTTGTCTCTAAATTTCTGTGGGAGTAATGAGTAGTCTTCACTTCTGATAGTTTAGGAGCCAATTTCTGTTAAGGTAGAGAGATAGCATTTTATGTAACATTCTAGAATTTGGAATTTTAGAATTACAAGTTTTATAGGAAACATTATTTTTTTTAAGCCCAGTGGTATTAGGAAATAAATATTTGTGAGAAGAAAACTTGAGACATTCTGGGCGCTGGTGGCTCACATCTATAATCCTAGCTTGTACCAAGGCTGAAATCTGAGGATTAACATTCAAGGCAGCCTGAGCAAGACAGTCCATGAGACTCTTATCTCCAATTAATCACCAGAAAACTAGAAGTGGCGCTGTGGCTCAAAGTGGTAGAATACTAGTCTTGATCAAAAGAGCTCAAGGGCAGCACCTGGGCCTTGAGTTCAAGACCTACAAATGACAAAACAAAAAACAATGAGACACCAAACCACTTCTCTTTGCTGTTCATGTGAATCCATTTTTTTCTTCTTTTTGCCAGTCATGGGGCCTGAGCTCTGGGCCTGGGCGCTGTCCCTCAGCTCTTCAGCTCAAGGCTAGCATTCTACCACTTGAGCCACAGCACCACTTCTAGCTTTTTCTGTTTATGTGTTACTGAGGAATCAAACCCATGGCTTCATGCATGCTAGGCAAGCACTCTACCACTGAGCCACATTCCTAACCTGAATCCTTTTTTTTTTTTTTTTTTTGCCGGTCATTGGGCTTGAACTCTGGGCTTGGGTGCTATCCCTTAGCTCTTCAGCTTAAGGTGAGCACTCTACCACTTGAGCCACAGCGCAACTTCCAATTCTCTGGTAGTTGATTGGAGATAAGAATCTCATGGACTTTCCTGCTCGGGCTGGCTTTGAACCATAATCCTCAGATCTCAGCCTCCTGAGTAGCTAGGATTACAGGCGGCGTGAGCCACCAGTGCCCAGCTCTGAATCCATTTTTATGGTATTAAAAGACATGGGAGCCAGGTGCAGTGGCTCATATCTGTAATCTTAGGTGCTTGAGAGGGCAAGTTCAAGAGGATCACATTTTCAGGCTAGCCCAGTCAGAAAAGTTTGTGGAGACTACATCTCAGTGGAAGACACTGGGCTTGCTGATGTACACCTATTATCCCAGTTATGGTAGGAACCCTAAAATAGGACTATCATAGTCTAGTGATATGCCAGAATGTAAGACGCTATCCCAGTGCAAGCTGGTTGCTAGTAGCTCATGTCTGTACTCCTAGCTACTCAGGAAGCTAAGATGTGAGGATCCACGGTTCAAAGCCAGCCTGGGCAGGAAAGTCTGTGAGACTCTTATCTCCAGTTAACCCCCAGAAAACCGGAAGTGGTACTATGGCTTAAGTGGTAGAGTGCTCGCCTTGAGCTGAAGAGCTGAGAGACAGCACCCAGAGTTCAAGCCCCATGACTGACAACAACAACAACAACAAAACAGTGCAATCAAGAGGTGGAGGTGTGACTTATTAGTAGAATATCAACCAGTCAAGCTTCTGGCCTTGAATTCAAGGAAATACTGCCAAAACATCTCCCCAAAAGAAGACAAAATGAGGTAGCAGCTGGGATTGTAATTAGGGGTAGAGTGCGCACTCTAAGGTATGCAGAGCCCTGAGTTCAATCCTCATCATCAAAAAAAATCTGGTTCTAATGAAGGAGAAAAATGAATAAAATGGTCATGTCTTCACAAAGCAAGTGGGACAGGGCAAGGCACGGTCCTTGTTTTTATTCTTAAATTTATTCATTTTCTGTTTTGTTTTTGATTCAGGGTCTTGCTCTGTAGATCAGGCCTGGAAACTGACTCTCTTCCCACCCCAGCCTCCCAAGTACTGGGACGCTAAGGCCTGAGCCCTGCACAGCCGGCCTTTGGTGCTTATTAAATACTGCTGGGGGAGTGGCCTCAGCCCCGGTGCATCCAGAAGGTGGCTGGTGGACGGAGGAGATGTTGGCTAGCCTTTGTGGAACAGCAGCAGGCAGCCGCAGGAAGGATTTGAAGAGGCGCTGCTGCCAGGGGTGTGCTCAGTTTGTGTTTCTGGTATAGGTGTCCCTGGCGGGCCAGTGTCTGCGGGATGCCCCGGTGGCCTTCCTTCAGAACTTTGCTGCTGAATGTGCTACTAATTTGGAAGTGTACCAGGAGCCAGACAGTCAGACAGTGAATGTCAAGATAAAGAATGGGGTTCTGGGAGGTATGTAATATTTGCTTGAAGAAAGAACAGACTTGACTTGAATGTTAATATAAACTATGACATAAGTCACTTTTTTTTTTTTTTTTTTTGGTTGAGGGGCTTGAACTCTGGGCCTGGGCGCTGTCCCTCAGCTCTTCAGCTCAAGGCGAGCGCTCTACCACTTGAGCCACAGTACCACTTCTGGTTTTCTGGTGGTTCATTGGAGATAAGAGTCTCACAGACTTTCCAGACTTTCCTGTCCGGGCTGGCTTTCAGCTGAGATCCTCAGATCTCACCCTCCTGAGTAGCTAGGATTACAGGTGTGAGCCACCAGGGCCCAGCTTAAATATATATATATATGTATATTATATATATATATATATATATATATAATATACATATATATATATATTTTTTTTTTTTTTTTGTCGTGGGAGCAGAACTCTGGGCCTAGGCGCTGTCCCTCAGCTTTTCAGCTCAAGGCTAGCACTCTACCACTTGAGCCACAGTGTCACTTCCAGCTTTTTTCTGCTTATGTGGTGCTGAGGAATCAAACCCAGGGCCTCATGCATGCAAGGCAAGCACTTTACCACTGAGCCACCTTCCCAGCCCTTTTTTTTTGGTTTTATCCCTGAGCTTTTTGGCTCCAGGCTGGCACTTTGCCCCTTCCACTTTCAGCTTTTTGGTGGTTAATTGGAGATAAGAGTTTTACAGATGTTTCTGCTTGGGCTGGCTTCTAACTGGAATCCTTAGACCTCATTTTCCTGAGTAGCTAGGATTATAGGTGTGAGCCACCAGCATTTGGCTCTACAAATCAACTACTGGAAAATAATAGCATTTTTGTTTGGAGAAGAGCAGAGCACATTTGGTGTGTTGCTCTCCCCCAAGAACTTTTTTTTTGGCTAGTCCTGGGGCTTTGAACTCAGGGCCTGGGCTCTGTCCCTGAGCTGCTTTTGCTAGCACTCTACCACTTGAGCCACAGCACCACTTCCAGCTTTTTCTGTGTATGTGGTACTGAGGAGTTGAACCCAGGGCTTCATGCTTGCTAGGCAAGCACTCTACTACTGAGCCACCTTCCCAGCCCCACCTACAAGCTTTTATGTCAGTCATGAGTGACGCTTGGAGAGGAGGGGCTCAGCTGTGGCACCGAGTATGGACAGCTGTGGCTGGCTTGCAGGGTAGGCATGATACCCACTCTGCTCGCTCAGCTTTGCTTTGAGTACCGAGACATGATGGCGTAAACTGTGAGTGCCGTGGGAGTTCACCTGGGTCCCTTTTCAGGCACAGTCACCCCAACCGTGATCTATGAGGAAGCCAGTGGCCTGGATGCATTCATCACTAGCTCAGGTAAGCAGCCCCCCTTCATGCCAACTGTCACATAGTCCCTGTGTGAAGCACTGCGTTCTGCAGGCTGACCTTGAACTCCAGCACTCGTGATCCTGCCAAGAAGCTGGTTGCACAGGCATGCGCCATCTTGCCCTGCTTAAAATACACCTTGTTTTTTTTTTTTTGGTCGGTTGTGGGACCTGAACTCTGGGCCAGGGCACTGTCCCTCAGCTCTTCAGCTCAAGGCTAGTGCTCTACCACTTGAGCCACAGTGCCACTTCCAACTTTTTTTTGTTTATATTGTGCTGAGGAATCAAACCCAGGGCCTCATGCATGCAAGGCAAGCACTCTACCACTGAGCCACCTTCGCAGCCCTAAAAGACATTTTTAAGAAGCATTTAGAGCAGTCCCTCGGGTCGGGAAGGCTCCCAGCAGCACTTCATGTGTGCTGTGTTCTGTTTGCCTCAGCACCTCTATGACCTGGGCTGTGCCATCAGGGTCTGGATCTAGAGGGGCCAGCGTCCTTTGTAGCCTCCAGCCCCAGGAGCCTTTTCTTGAGTGCTTGTCAGGGAGGTAAAGGTTTCTGGGCATTCTCATTTCTTGCTTTACTTGGTAATTAAATTTTGTAGTGGTGATACACCAAGTAAGTTGTATGGCATGTCTGCCGTCACCCTGAACTCCTGTGTTCTACAGTGGGGGAGTTTCTGTTTTCCTTTCAATGTGCTGTAGATAAACACCCCACCCATGACTGTATCAGACTTTAGAAGTGTTCCCCACAGCTCTCCAGAGCCAGGTGGCAGCCTGCGTGTACGCGTGGAGCTGACATGGGGAACCTTCCACGTGGCGCCCATTTCCTCAGCTGAGTGTCGTATGGCTGCCATGAGTGGGTGCTGGGTACAGGAGTGGAAGGAAAGGGACTAAGGGTGACGCGGGGTGCCACCAGGCAGTAGAGGAGAAGGAGGGAAAACTGACCTGGGGGGCCCAGGGAAGCTCCCGCTGTGTTAGGTATCTGAGGAATAGACTTAAGTCCCAAGAAAAGCCTTAACTTCTGAGTGAGTTCTCTCATTTTCAGAATCATTTTTAAGCAGTGGCTCAGCCCCAAGAAATGTGCACGTGGAAGAGCATTACACTTTCAGATGGTACAACAACACCATCAGTGAAATCCGTGTCCGCATCCTACGGGCAGAAATCCACGCCCACCAGAAAGGTACTGATGAAATGCAGCAGCAACTCTTCCAGTTCAGAGAACTTTTTCCCCTTTCTGGATTCTTCATAATTAAGCTGGGTGCCAGTGGCTCACACCTGTAATCCAAGCTACTCAAGATACTCAAAAGGCACCTGACTCTACTTTGATTTATTTCTAGGGATAATGACGCAGAGATTTACTGTGAAGTTTTTAAGCCATGATAGCAGTAACGAAAAGGAATCGTCTGGCAATCCAGGTAAGACACACCCAGAAGTGTCGTCCTGCAGAGAGACTGTGCGCGCTCCTAGGCTGTGTGTGTCCCCTTGCAGGGCCCCGTCTTATCAGATTCCATTTCTGAACTGTATTTTTAATCACATGAATGTCCTGGTCTGTGAAAAATGAAAGGGGCTGAGTGGAGGTCGCCACCTTCTCTCCAGGGCAGTGTATGGAACTCTGGTGCCTGTTCCTTCATTCTGACTGCCTCTTTTGTGCATCGACAATGGCAGGAAATGAGAATCCTCCCTCACTGTGTTTGTCCAGGTTACCAGCGTGGCAAGCCTCTGCGAGTCCTCAATACCAACAGGGAGAACAAAGTCACAGCTTTACATCTCTGGCGCTCAGGTACTCCGACTCGGTCCTGTGATAAGCCCCCGAGTAAGCTAGGGTTGCAAATGTTCTCTTGTCAGGTGCTGGAACTCACACCTGTAATTCTGGCTATTCAGGAGGCTGAGAGCTAAAGATCATGGTTTGAAGCCAACTCTGGGCAAGAAAGTCTGTGAACCTCTTTACCTCCAATTAATCAGCAAAAAGCTGGAAGTGGAGGTGAGCCTCAAGTGGTAGAGCACCAGCCTTGAGCAAAAAACGCAAGGCAAAGAACAAGACCCCGAGTTCAAGCCCTCACGCGCGTGCACGCGCACACACAGACACAGAAACATTTTCCTATTTCAGTCTACTAATGTAATGGATCAGTGTGAAGACAGTTGGGTGGTGAGCAGGGCTTTTTCTTTCTGTGAGGAACGTTGGCATTGCTGGTAGCTGCAGTGCTGCTTGTTCATGAGAGTCAAGTAGCCAAGGAGATTGGCTGGGGTCAGAGAGAACTGTGAGTCATTGTGATCACCCACAGCAGCCAGGGCAAGCACTTGTGTGTTCCCAAAAACTACTGATGGCGCCAGACTGAGGTTCTGATGCCCAGAGGCCACCATTCAGTTTGGAAACTGTTAGAGTCACAGTAATCTCAGTTTTTTTTTTGGGGGGGTCCAGTTGTGGAGCTTGAACTCTGGGCCTGGGCGCTGTCCCTCAGCTCTTCAGCTCAAGGCTAGCGCTCTACCACTTGAGCCCCAGTGCCACCTCTGACTTTTTCTGAGTAGTTTATTGGAGATAACAGTCTCATGGGCTTTCCTAGTTGGGCTGGCTTTGAACTGAGATCCTCAGATCTCAGCCTCCTGAGTAGCTAGGATTATAGGATGAGCCACCAGCGTCTGGCAATAAAGCCATTAAAAAAAAAAAACAAACTGGAAACTATTTGTTACTTACTGATTTCTCTGTTTTTCCGGAAAAAACTTTGGAGTAGATTTCAATTTTATTTAGGAAAACCTGTTTTCTCTTACAGCTGGACGGGGCCTGTGCACATTAGCAGCTCTAGCCCCCATTTTATTTGGAGAAGATGTCCTGTCCGGGTGTCTTTTAGAAGTTTCGATACAGGAAAACTGTACTCAGCTCAGGTGAGCTTTTCTTTTTTCTGTGATCCCAGCAATGACTGGAGCCTAAAGTAGATGGATTGTGGACCAGGAGTATATCCAGGTGGGAAGCACGACCCTAGCCTATAAAGCAAATTGTAACAAATCCTCTATATTTCAATCTCCTGAGCAGCTGGCACTCAGCTATTCTGAGTGTTGGTTTGTTTGTTTTGTTTTTGGTGCTGGCACCCGGTCTTGGACACTGTCCACTGGAATCCATCTGAGGAAGTTTTTTTTTTTTTTTTTTTGGTTGGTCGTGGGGCCTGAACTCTGGGCCTGGGCGCTGTCCCTCAGCTCTTCAGCTCAAGGCTAGTGCTCTACTACTTGAGCCACAGTGCCACTTCCGGCTTTTTCTGCTATGGGTGCTGAGGAATTGAACCCAGGGCCTCATGCATGCAAGGCAAGCACTCTACCACTGAGCCACCTTCCCAGCCCCCACCTGAGCTTCTCTTGCTAAAGGCTAGCACTCTACCACTTGCCATAGCTACACTTCCAGTTTTCTGGTGGTTAATTGGAGATAAGAATCTCGGGCTGGGGCTGGGAAGGTGGCTCAGTGGTAGAGCGCTTGCCTTGCATGCCCGAGGCCCTGGGTTTGATTCCTCAGCACCACATAAGCAAAAAGAAAAAAGCTGGAAGTGGTGCTGTGGCTCAAGTGGTAGAGCGCTAGCCTTGAGCTGAAGAGCTGAGGGACAGCGCCCAGGTCCAGAGTTCAGGCCCCACAACCGGACCCAAGGAAAAAAAAAAAAAAACCCAATAAACCACCAGAACACTGGAAGTGGCGTTGTAACTCAAGTGGTAGAGCGCTAGCCTTGAGCTGAAGATCTGAGGGACATCACCCAAACCCAGAGTTCAAGCTCCACGACCAACAACAACAAAAAGTCTCACAGACTTTCTTTCCTGTCTAGGCTGGCTTTGAATTTGATCCTCAGATCTCAGCATCCTAAGTAGCTAGGATGACAGGCGTGAGCCACCGGTGCTCTATTGGGCTGAGTTTCCAGGGATCATTACTCATATGGGGCAAGGTCAGAGGAATTGTTCTTCCACCATACCCTATAGTTTAAGGGGGAGAGAGATAACTGTAAAAGTTACCCATCTTCAGGCCTAATGCACTCCTTGTTGCTAAGCTACCTGTCCTTATTGTAGCTTCCTTGTGGAAGTGCTCAGTGCCAAGTCTTAATCTGCACTTAATTTTATAGTTCTAAGTTCTGGCTAGATATTTGCATTCCTTTTACTATTGGGTCACTCCAGCTCATGAACTTAGCCTTGATGACTTGGTAAGTGACTTGACCTCCTCACTCCCGAGTTTTGTGATATGTAGAGGAGTCTGGGAAGCACACAGCACCCATGGAAGTTGCCAGCACTTGAGCCTAAAATCAAAGGTTGCTGTGCTGTGTCAGGTACATAACGCAGGCAGCGTAGGGCCAGCCTGGGAGGCTGCTCACGTGATGTGGGGCTTGGGGCCAAGGCCTAGCAGAAAGGGTTTCTGGACAGAGCATGCTGACCATGGCTTAAAAATGCCTTCCTTTCTTTCAGGGAGGATGTTGTTGAAAGACTTGAGTCACTAATACAAGCAACTCATGTCGCTATGAGAGGGAACTCTGATTACAGCGACCTGAGCGACGGCTGGCTGGACATCATGCGTAAGTGTGAAGCACCTGATTTGTCCCATGCCTGTTGCCTGCCGTGGGGCTGTGGGGCTAGCTGTGGAGGTCTTTTGTCTTTTTGTTTTCATGCCCATTTGTGTAGGGGTCACCTCTCCAGGCAGAAGGGCTTCATGTCCGTCCCCCCTCTTCCTCATGTCTTTAGGCTTTTAGGAGGAAATGACATTGCAGTGTTGCAGTTGTTTGATGAGCCAGCCATGTTAACAGAACCCAGGCTTAGGGTTTGCAGTGCTCCTCTGTTGTACACCGCAGCTTTGGGATGGCAGGACATGGGCATTTGAGAAGGTGTTAGGAAATGATGTGATTGAGAACGCCCTGTAAGTGAAAGATGCTGGATGGATGCGACTGCACGCCATGTGGCTGGCTCCAGCCTCAGCAGCACATGAGACAGAAAGCCTGGGGTGGCTATCCGAAGTGGGGAGTGGCTGCTGCGTACACACAAGTTGGCTAATTAGCACCTCTGTACACTGCCAAGGGTGGCGGAATTGTGGAGTGGCAGAGCCCATTATAGACGAGAGCCTCATGTGTGCAACTGCTATCGAATATTATTGTCCTGTGTGTGTGTGCCAGCACTGGGACTTAAACTGAGAGCCTTGTGTTATGCCTGACAGTGTAAGAAAGCCGGTATTAAACATTCTTTCAAGAAAGCACAACTTATATTTCTTAGGTGTGGATGCCCCTGTCGCACCTGTAAACAGCACAAGCGGCGCATGCCTGGATGTTCCCACCCAGCTTTCCATCCGGGTCCTGGTGGCCGATGCGGGTGCTGTGCAAGGGCTGGTTCAGCAGGAGGTGGTGGGCGTTGAGACCAGGTGTGCTCCCCATCTCAGTGAGGGGCGTCGGGAACAGGGCACACTCAGCCAGATTGCAGCCTGTAGTGATAAGAGTCAGTGACAGCTGCATTTATTTATACACTTATTTATTTCATTTTTTAGTTTCATTTTTTTGTTGGTCTTAGGGCTTGAACTCAGGGCCTGGGTGCTATCCCTGAGTTTTTCTGCTCAGGGCTAGTGCTCTACCACTTGAGCCACAGCATCACTTCTGGTTTTTTGGTGGTTCATTGGAGATAAGAGTCTCATGGAAGCCGGGCGCTGGTGGCTCACGCCTGTAATCCTAGCTACTCAGGAGGCTGAGATCTGAGGATCGCAGTTCAAAGCCAGCCCGGGCAGGAGAGACTGTGAGACTCCTATCTCCAAAAAACCACCAGAAAACCGGAAGTGGCACTGTAGCTCAAGTGGTAGAGCGCTCGCCTTGAGCTGAAGAGCTGAGGGACAATGCCCAGGCCCAGAGTTCAAGCCCCACGACCAACAAAAAAAAAAAAAGTCTCATGGACTTTCCTGCGCAGGCTGGCTTTGAACTGCAGTCCTCAAATTTCAGCCTCCTGAGTAGCTAGGATTACAAGTGTGAACTACATGCTCCCAGCTCAGCTATGTTAATACTGGAAACCCGTTCCGGCCCACCAGCACTCGGGCAGCGCTGAGTAAGATGGGTAAGATGATTCGATATGGAGTATATTTTGGTTCTTCAAATGTGACTGGTGTGCTGGTGGTTAGAGCACCAGTTGTAGGGACTTTGGTGGCAAACCAGCAGGTTCAGGTGTGGAAGTACCTGTCGCTTGGGCAGTTTCTGTGTGTCTCCTGCACTGCAGTGGTGATGACTTGGTTAGCCATGGGGTCCTGCTAAATGAAATGAATGTGTTCAAGGCTGGACAAGCCACATACGATGCATTCACGGCTCATGATTTCTCCATGGTCAGGAGCTTTCTGTCTTAGTCATCTCTTGGCTCCTCTTTGCTTGCTTGGCTCCATTGTCAGGTAAATCACCTCAAGAGATGGAAAGACAAGGCTAACAATATCCCACTTATGGCAAGTTAGCCAAATCCAGTGGAATGAGAAGCTGCTTCCTCAAAAAAGATCAGGACAGAGTTTGATTGGTTCAGTTTGGATCATGTATTCCTTGCTGAACCAATCACTGTGGCTGGGGCAACAGACAGCTCTGATTGTCCAGGCTCAGAGGATGGACTATTTACCCTAGATTCAGGCCTGGGCTAGAGCTGAGAATGGGGAGTAGTAGTTTCCCAAGGAAAAGCAGGGGTGCAGTTATTAGAAAAGAAGGGGAGCTAAGGAGGCAGACTACTTCATAGTGCTGTTCTGGTTTTGGTGCTGCTGGGAATGGAATCCAGGGCCCAGCACAGGTGAGGCAGCCTCTGTCACTGAGCCAGGTACAGCCTTTAGCACTGCTTTGAGGCCTTTAGGGGATGGGAACAGGCCTCCTTAGCTCTGGGCTCAGATTGCAGCCTGCCCTCAATGTAGGGTTGGCTGCAGTTCTTATTGTACAGTGTGAGACACACAAGTGTCCTTGAAAAGCCAGGTATTCTGCAACAGCTGGTCATTATAGCTGCAAGACAGGTTTGTGAGGGTCCATTACATTTGTCTCTCTCCTGTGTCTTCATCTATGATACAATGGTTGCTGCCCGTCCTGAGCAGACTAGAAATGAATGGTGGCTTGGTTACAGTATCTTCCCTCCTAGGTTCTCCACGGTGAACTGGCAGCACCAATGTGGACTTACCTGCGAGGACAGGGCAGGCCTGCTTCCCATCAGTGCAGCAGTGCAGTTCATTCAAATACCTGCACAGCTGCCCCACCCTCTGACAAGGTAATTCAGTGACCCACCTAATTGACACAGGAAATGGAAAAACCTATGTTTAAAAGGAGGAAGCTTGTTCCTCTAGTCAAGCTCTGATGCTTTCACTTGCAGTTGTTGAAATCTTGCACAATGTTTTGCAGATTCCAGATCAATTTTACAGAGTATGACTGTAATAGAAACGATGTGTGCTGGCCACAACTTCTGTATCCACTGACCCAGTATTATCAAGGTAAAGGAAAACTTCTGTAGTGTTAACCAGGTCTGTTATGCAGTTAAAAACAGTCTAAAGTAACGTGTAAATGTCAGGGAAAGCTGAAAATGTATAGAAAAATATAACCAAAAAATGTCCTAATCCCAAGGTCCTTAGAAATGGTCACAGTGACTGGTGTGGGTTATTTCTGTACAACTTTGGAAAAATCCAGAGCATCATTACTAGTCTTTGGCTGTCTTGCAGGAGAGCCGCATTCCCAGCGCGTGGCCAAGGGCTTAATGTTGGCCTGGTTTCTCCTGCTTGCAGTGCTGCTCAGCAAGCCTTGGGCCAGAATGTGCCGGCTTGGTGCTCTGTGGCCCCCTGCCTACAAGTCCTGCTGATACCCTGGACCTGTGTGGTAGTGGCTTCTGTGGTCATCCATACCTCCCTGGGACATCTTAATAAACAAAATGTCTTTTGTAGAAAATTCTTAACAAGTGTTCTGTGAATTTAATTCATTTCTGTTATGTTGATGTTCAAAACAATGTGTAAATCACTAAGAGATTTAGCTCATCATAAATGACTAAAGTCTCCATGCTTTACTTACACCAGAGTTAACGTTTAAGTTTTTTTTTGCTTTTGTTTTTGTTTTTTTGCTAGCCCTTGGAGCTTGAATTCTGGGCCTGGGTGCTGTCTCTGAGCTTCTTTGTGCTTAAGGGGTAGTGCTCTACACTCAAGCCACAGTGCAACTTCTGGATTTTTCTAAGTAGTTAATTGGAGGTGAGAGTCTCTCACAGACTTTTCTGCATGATCTGGCTTCGTCAGATCCTAGCCTCCCGAGTACCTAGGATTACAGGGGGTGAGCCACCAGCTCTGGGCTTCATATGAGTTTTGCACATCTCCTTAAACTTAATTTTTTTTTTTTTGTTGGTCCTGGGGCTTGAACTCTGGGCCTGGGCACTGTCCCTCAGCTCTTCAGCTCAAGGCTAGCGCTCTACCACTTGAGTCACAGCGCCACTTCCAGTTTTCTGGTGGTTTATTGGAGATAATAGTCTCACAGACTTTCCTGCCTGGGCTGGCTTTGAACTGGGATCCTCAGATCTCAGCCTCCCGAGTAGCTAGGATTACAGGCATGAGCCAGCGGCACCCAGCCTTAAACTTAATTTTGAAAAGCATTCTTTCCTTTTTCGTTTCTTCATTGAGCTCCTAAAGACTCTGGACATCCCAGTACACATAAAATAGGTTATTGCTTTGTCGTTTGCTGGAAGAGGTCCTAGGACACAGAGTTTTAAGCCTTTCTTCCAGTCTAAAGTTTTGTTTGTTTTTGTGGTTCTGGCGTTTGATTGAACTAGGTCCTGCCTCCCACTTGAGCCACACTCGCTGTTGTGTGTGTGTGTTTGTGTGTGTGTAATGTAGCGAGAAAAGCCAAAGATTTAGCTAAGCATAATCACGTCAGATCTCGTTCTGTCAGGGAGATCACGATTGCCCAGGACAGGGCTGGCTAACACACCCAGAGGGCAGGTGGGGAGTCGGTCGCCCGCAGCAGCGCAGGGATCTGGGGGCGCCCCAGGATGTTCTCAGGTTGGATTGTAATGGTGGCTGCCCCCCCCCCACCCCCCGGGCAACACCACTAATCCCGCAGAACTGCATACTTAAAACGGGGGAACTTCTGTAGCGCTCATTTTCGGAGCCCTCAGAAACCTAAGCCCGACCGCGCTGTCAGTGGCCGCCGACTTTGCGCTGATTGGCCCAGGCCACCGCGAATGGCTGCCGCAACTCCGGGCTCCTATTGGTCAGTCTGCGGGTGGGCGGTGCTCGGGGGCGGAACCGGAACCGCCTGCGCCGCGGGCGGGGCCTCGCTGGCGGCTGTGGCGGCGCTGGGGAAGCGGCCGCGGTGGCGGGACGCGGAGCGGCCGCTGGGACGCGGAGCCCCATGGTGTGGGGCCGCGGCCGGACCGCAGGAAGAACGGGAGGCCCGGGCCGCCTGGGAGCATGGGGTCCCTGTTCCGGAGCGAGAGCATGTGCCTGGCGCAGCTCTTCCTGCAGTCGGGCTCGGCCTACGAGTGCCTCAGCGCGCTGGGCGAGGCGGGCCTGGTCCAGTTCCGAGACGTGAGTGTCGCCCCGTCCCGCCCGCGTCCCTGCCCGCGCCCCCGCCGGCGACCCCGGCTCGGACGGCCGGGCGGCCTGTCCAGCCCCCTCCGCCGGCCGGCCGGCCCTGCCGCCCAACTTCCGGCCGGGGCTGAGGGAGACCCGGCGGGCCGCGCGGAGCTCTCGGCCCGCGGGCCGGGCGCGCTGGGCACGCAAATGGTAGATCCGAAACCGCGCTGCGGAGGAGCCGGGCCGCGCGGTGGCGACCGCTGGCAGGTGGTTTTGAAGGGGAAGTCAGGGAAGGCCTCCCGGAGGAGGCGGCCTCTGAGCTGAGGAGGGAGGACGGGCATGCGAGGGCTGCCGCCGCTCCGTCAGCCTTCTGGCCGACTGACACCTGTCATTGCGCGGTCAGGACCCAGCCCAGTCTGTATGCGTGGAATGGAAGTGATGTCCCCAAGTAATAATAAACCCTTGTTTATGCAGACGTTTACTTGTTTATTGTTTGTCCCCACCGTGGACCGCCAGGCTCCCGGGTGAGACCTTGCCTGATTTGTTCACTTCCCAGCACTGGCACAGTCGCTGGCGTTTACCGGCATTCGTGAGGATTTGTTGAATGAACAAACTCTTCTTGGGTGCTTGTCTCACCCAGGCACTGTTTTTGGTGCTGAAGTGAACCGAACAGACTGAATCCCGGAGCTCAGAGTTGACTGTCTGGGTGGGGACAGTGAACACACCCTGATTCCACCTGAGATACCCTGGCTAGGAAGGGAGTTGGAGCCTGCTGGCTCAGCCACCCGCATCCAAGCAGAATGGAAATGCGCTGGGGCCTTTTTTTGTTGATTTTTTTTTTTTTGGGTCCAGTCGTGGGGCCTGAACTCTGGGCCTGGGCGCTGTCCCTCAGCTCTTCAGCTCAAGGCTAGCGCTCTACCACTTGAGCCATAGAGCCACTTCTGGCTTTTTTCTTTTTGCTTATGTGGTGCTGAGGAATCGAACCCAGGGCCTCATGCATGTAAAGCAAGCGCTCTACCACTGAGCCACCTTCCCAGCCCCCGCTGGGGCCTTTATACTCCCTGCCGGTTCCCCTCATCTTCTGGGGGCTCCTTGCAGGGAGCACAAACTCCTGAACTATACACGTCAGGGGCCGGTGAGGGGGCCCCTCTGGTCTGTGTCACTGTGGCGAGTACTCGGGAAAGGCCAGACTTGTTCTCGGTCAGGTAGATCTGAAGCCAGGGACACTTAAGAACCTGTAATCTCAGGTTGGGACAACCACTCTAATCACCACAAAGATGGGTTTCCTTAGTGCCATCACATGTGATTGTCCTGCTGTCAGCAGCACCATGCTCGTCAGCCTGCGTCCCAAGTGCACCCCTGTTTCTGGGCTGGGTCACTGACCTCCGCCCTCCCTGGCTCCTCCCTCCCTGGCTCCTCCCTTTGTCTTTTCTCTTGGTGGGAAGGGGCCAGTGGAGGATACACTTAGCCAGTGGGAGGGGAGTCCCATGACAAACTGGCATTAATGGGGAAGGAAGGTCCTCTCTCTGTTTTAAGCCCTGTCTCGGCTCCTCAAGTCTCTGCTGCCTCTCCTGTGTGAAATGCTTATCTTAAAAGGGTTCTGGTGCTGGATGTGGCTCATGTGGTAGAGCCCCTGCCCATCCTTGAAGTCCTGAGTTCAACCCTCAGAACCACTACCACTACATAGAAAAAAAGCTCTAGAGCAGGAGGAAGGGGCCACGTGGGTAATCCCAGCGCTTATCAGAAGACCAGAACCAGGGGTCTAGGTTGAAGTATACCTTCACATTTTTTTATTTTTAGTTTGTTTTTTAGTAGACTGAATCTCACTATGTATCCTGGCTTGCTGGAACTCAGATCTTCCAGCTTTAGCCTCTGTAGTGCTGGGATTACAGGGGTGTACCACCATGCATGTACTTTTTCCCATTAGCTTTGAATTAAGATGACTGCAGTAATAGCAAAACCAAACCTGATCATTGTAACCCATATGGCAGAAAACCATCCACTGCAACACCAGGTATTTACTTCTTTATCGAGATCTTGCTGTTTGTAGAACCAGAGCATTCAGTGAAAGATACGCACTTTACCACCGAATTAGTTTTGCTGGAGAACAGTTCTGATGCATGGCTTCCGTCCCCTTCCTAGTTGTGTCAGCTTTGGTAGGAACTTGGAAGTGGTCTCTGCACATGAACATGGCCTCCAGAAAGGGAAGGGAATGTGACAAACAGAGGTGAAGTCTGAATGTTGTCTTTCTTCTGGTTAATGCTTAAAACAAACAAGCAAACCGTGTTGTCTGACTGGTTTGTGAGAGTACCTAGCATAAACACTGGACAGAATAAAAAGAATTTTCACTGACAATGCCCTTCAACATGAGTGAAAGGCATCGTATGATTATTATGTAACTAGCTTATGTCCAGTATGGGACTTTTTTTTGTTGCTATGGCACTGAGGTTTCAAACTCAGAACCTCAGACTTGTTGCAGGTGTTATACCACTTGAGCCAGGTCTCCACCTAGTAGAGTTACAACTTTATTGAGGTGCACCATAAAATCTACCCATTTCAAGAATGCAGTTCACTGTTTCTTCAGAAAGTTTACCAGTTACCTGACATGGTTTTAGAACATCTCTCACCCTAGGAAGGTGGATTCCTTAGACTTGCACACATAATCTTCCTTCCCTCAGCCGAGGCAGTGCTGTCCTCCAAGGGTCTGTGTGGAGGTGCCTGTTGTGGGTATTCCCTATTTGTGGAATCATGCAGCCTGTGAGTTGGGTCTGGCTTCTTCCACTTCTGAAGGTCACTGGTGTGTCTGCTTTGTTCCTTTGTCTCAGTAGTATTCCATACAAGGGATTTGGTCTGTAGTTTCTTTGCTCAATTTTCTTTTTTTTTTTAAATTTAATTTAATTTTTTTGTGAACATACTGTACAGAGGGGTTACAATTACATGGGCAGGATAATGCGTACATTTCTTATCAAGCATTGCAGCCTCCTCCTTTGTTTACACTTCACATCCCTTCCCTACCTCCCCCCTGCTCAATTTTCTATTGTTGGATTTTTTTTTTTCTTGGTTGGTCATGGGGCTTGAACTCGGCCTGAGCTCTTTACCTCAAGGAGAGAGCTCTATCACTTGAGCCACAGTGCCATTTCGTTTTCTGGTAGGTAATTAGAAATAAGAGTCTCATGGACTTTCCTGCCCAGGCTGGCTTTGAACTGTGATTCTCAGATCTCAGCCTCCTGAGTAGCTAGGATTACAGGCATTACTATACTTCCTCTATCCCTGAGGTTGGTTTTTTATAACTTTTCCCCATAATAATGGTTTTTTTTCCTTTTTTAATTTCATCATGGGATATTTTAGTCCAAAGGATATCTTCTGATAAAAGAGTTGTCAGAT